AGATTTCATCCACTCTAATCTTTTAGCTCACAGAGTATGTTCCTAAATAAGATTGTCGGCTTAGGCATCATCCCATAATAATTCTATATGAAGTTTCCCATGTCCGTTCATTATTTGGCAACAATGAACGCCTTAAATTCCCTCTTGATTATAACATTATGACTGGTATTTAAGTGTTGGTTTGTAGGGATTTGGTTGGTTTCAGGATTTCATCATGAGCTGACATTAGTTAGAGAACTATTGGAAAACCTGGGAGTACTGGACAGCTGTTTCATCCTAGTTTGGGACTCTTCATCAGCACGCACCCACTGAGATTCGAACTCAAGACCTTCCATACTTTCAGTTTCTTATGTCTCATCCATTAGTGTTTATAAATAAAGTTCTATCGAATAATTAGAGTTCATAAACCTACTTTAAGTACAGTCCACTTTGTGTTGTTAATTTATTTGCCTGGAAATGATGTGTCCTCTGTCTGTCTGTCTGTTTTGGACATAGAACTTTGTACATATGTGTGGCAGTTCAAGTCGCCACACTCCCTCCTTGTAGCACACAAAGCAAGAGAAGAAAGTACAAGAAAAGCATAATAGAGACAGTAAGTAGAGGTGTGAGACAAAGAACAAAACAGTTTCATTGGAAATCATAAATCACAAGGAGTGGATGCATCTGCGCCATTGAGAACGATTTTGAGCCATATCACCAATTGTTTCCATCCATTGGTTTTTACCATACCGAGGACCCCAACCCGGAAGTCTACACCTTCCTACGTGGCTTAGACTAACTGTTGTAGATTTCATTGACTGATGCCATGTTTTGGTTAGACCGCCGCTAGCTCTTTTCCAGCTTGACTATATGTCAGCTAACATTGCCCGTCGAGGAAGGCGATAACTAGACATACGTAAATCATGTCCTAACCATCTCAGTCGATGTAATTTCATAGCCTCGTCGATTGATTTACCCTCCTTACCCAGCACTCAACGCCTTACTTCAATATTGCTCACCCTATTATACCACTTCACACGGGTAATAGAACGCAGGCACCTATGATCAAAGACAGCTAATCTTTTCATGTCTTCCACTCTCAATGGCTAGGTCTCACGGCCAGCCATAAAGGAGGACGAAGCGGACTGCTGGGCAGTACACCCGCTGTTTGGTCGATAGTCGGATATCAAGTCTACGCCAGAGACGGCGTAAACTGGCATATGCGAAACTAGCCCTCTGTATCCGTGCTGAGATTTCATCAGAGATCAACCCGTTGGCGCTGGCTGATGGGACTTCCCAAATAAGTGAAGCGGTCAACGTGCCCTACCACTTCACTTCCTGTTTCTAATCTAGGAGTCTGTGTAGTTCACTCCTGTAACATCATCTTGCATTTGGTGGGAGCGAATCGCATGCCAAGCATTCGTAGATTGCAGCTCAAGGTGTTTATAAGACTACACTCTGTCAGCCTCCTCGCCTGGAAGGACTGTATCGTCTGCATATTCTAAGTTAACAGGATTATTCCCTGGTAGCAGGTCAATCCTTGTGTCTCTGAAGTGAGTTAGGGTTAAGTCCATCAGTACATCCATGATGAAGTTGAATAGAAATGGGATAATGGGCATCCCTGACGGACACCACTAGTTGTCACCACTTCAGATGACAACTCGCCGTAAGCCCTTACCTGGCTGCTTGAGTTCGAGTAGAGTGCCTTGATCAGTGCAATGTATTTTCTCGGTATTCCGTTTACAGCCAACCATCGCCAGAGAACCTCTCGGTCGACACAATCGAACTCCGCCTTTAGGTCAAGGAATATAATGATTGTTGACTATGTTCTAGAATCTGTCGAAGGGTGAAGATATGATCAATACACCCTCTTCCTGGTCTAAAGCCTGCCCGGCTCTCTCGTGTTTGTGCCCTCCGAGCACCACTTAATCTACGCAATATTATTGAGCCTGGGACTTTAGATTAGTCACACGAATCCCTCTGTGATTATCACAGGAAGACTTGTCTCCCTTCTTGTATATCGGAATGATCAGTGACTAACACCAACCCGACGGTACTTCCCCTGATTCCCAGACGCTACCTAGAACCTCAGTTAATGCAGACAGTAAACTGTCTCCACCGTACTTAAATACCTCTGGAGTCATCCCATGAGGTCCTACTGCTTCGCCTCGTTTCAGACTAGTGACAGCTTTAGTAACCTCAGTTAGGGACGGAGGACCTGTGTGTATACCCGATTCAGGGAGGTGTTGGATGTTCAGCAGGTTGAGCGTGGCTGTGGGCCAATTAAACTGCTCCTCATAGTGCTCTTTCCAGCGATCCAGTCGTCTATCCTGGGAGCTAATTATGGTGCCATTTTTCTCCGAGATTGTTTCACTTATCATTTGTTTTTTGCTGATAAGTCCCTGATAAGTCTTAATAATTGTCTGGTGTTGCCAACCACCGATGCCTTTTCCACGTCTTTCACTTTTGTCACCCACCACTGTTCACGGTCGTTGCGAAGACTTCTTGTTAGTTTTCGTTTGAGTAGCTTTCGCTCCTCATCATAATCAGAGCTAGCCGGAATCAGTCTTCTTGCGTCAATAAGTTCGGATGAGGTGGTAGAGATCCCAAGGCTTTTACTAACTTTAGGTTTTAGCTTATTGACAGCCTTCACAGCTGTGTCTACAGCTAACTGTATGTTGTGCCAGGCTACCTCAGGGAAGTCCTGCTGTTGACCTCAGAAACTCGTTTCACTATTCCTTCCTTAAATAAGGACTCAGTGTCTCGATCTAGTTGGGGATGTCACTGTTTCACTGCCAACAATTTCTTATGTCCTTTTAGTCGTAAACATAAACGTGCACGAACCAGAGCGTGATCAGTCTACGCACGTGTTCCAGAAGGAGCGACAGTCTTCTACTGATCCTCGCCAACAATACCTTATGGCTATGTGGTCTATCTGAGTTCAGCGTTGATTTGGTGATGGAGGTCACCAGGTTACGCAATGTCTGTCTTTGTGCCTAAAGTTAGTGCTGACTAGGAACAGATGATTATCTGAGCAAAACTGTAGAAGATGATCGCCGTTCTCGGTTCGTCAGCAGGGAACTCCATACGTGCCACCTACATACTCCTCAGTCTGGCACAACTTCCCTACTTGGGCACTGAAGTCGCCTGCTAAAACAGCTATATCTGTACGTTTTGCTTTTTGCAGGAAATTAGACGGTTTCAGGTAGTAGTCATCTTTTATTTCATCCGAACTGCAGTCTGTTGGGGAGTAAGCGGAGACTACGAAAAGGCGACGACAGGTTGAGCCGTCTATCCGTCGTTTAACGGACCCATTCGGCCGGAACGCACACATACGACTATCTACTGGGATCCAGTCAAGAAGTGATTTTTCCACCCTAGCACTCAGTGCTATCCCTACACCTTCGAGTCCTCGCGAGCTAGCTGAGGGGTCTCCTGACACCCTTAAAGTAAATTTAGCAGATTCACCTTGTTGATCGGGCGAGGTCAAGTAAATGACCACACTCAGGACTTGTATGTGTGTCTCCGAAACACAACACACATCCGTGACTCTAGATTCCAGGGTTTTTGCTAGTGATGTCTGTTGTCCGATTTGGCAGAGGGTCCTGACGTTAAAAGCTACTATATGAAGTTGGCGACGTGGCTTTAAAAGGCTGTCTGGGGGTGTTTCTATTGGCTCTCACCGTTGTTGTTTGTGGACACATAGTGAAGTGAAGATGACTCACTAGCCTGCAGAATAGTGCTAACTGTAGTAGAGAAGCAAAATGAGGAAGGTGATGTGAGTAAGGAAGAGTGATGCTCAGGAAGGCTTCGTGTGCTTTTGGATGTGTGTGGGCGGTTGTTACTTCCCGGCTACCTGCACCGTGGAAGTTGATTGTTTTTTCGGGTACCTGAAACAGAAGAAGGGTAAGTGTTGCGTGACCGCAGAGCCCAGGGGACAACTGCTTGAGGCAGGTCAAACACGGCCTGTTTTTCTTTGTTCTTTTTTGTTTGGTGTAGCATATTTATCACTTCTCCCCTGTTACACGGCAACAGGAAGCGCGGTCGTTGTTAATCTGGGCCCCGACCGATCCGGCATGGTATTTTGTGAGTTTGTTTGTATCATAGTATTGGATTGGGTAGCTGCTTTTTGTCTAACCGCTATCCAAACAACCTGCCTGGCATGGTAGGACCTCAAGAGACATAAGTCTCAGCCAGTATAGATTGTCATTGCGGTGTTCAAGCCCGACCACCACGTCAAGGTAGCAGCTTTCGGTCGGGTTATGTGTCCTCAGTTTAGGAGAGTATGTAAAACCGTATTCTGCACATCTACTGCAAGAGTAGTTAACTTATTATTATTTTTCAGCTAAGAAGGATAATTTTTTCTGCTTTTATTTATCGCTGTCACATATTTAGAAGTTATATTTTCTGCACAACCGATAGTGATTCCTCACTCAACTGGAAGATGAAGCACCTTGCCTAGCCACCTCCAGTTGTATGTGCCAATTCGAATGCACTTGTAGAACGAGTTATATTGGGCGTTGCTCTAGGAATTTTATTTTTCGTGCTCGAGAACACCTACCAGTGTGACTAAATAAAGGTGTAGTGGAAAACATCAACAGTTCGATATTAGACCACCTGGATAAAACCGACGACAAAGCTAGCCTTGAAGAATCCTTCTCCATCATCTACCAGGTACAAAATAAATTGCCGAAAGCATCCAGGTACCGAATACTGCAAACAGCAAAGGCTAAAACATCCGGTGCTCTGTGTGCAGAAGAAACTGGTTCAACTACTTATACTGCCCTGGCCTTCTGTCGAGCCTGTAAATTCATGAAATCTGTATTCTTCTTCTTCTTCCTGACTTGTCTGATATTCAGTGTAGTGTTATATTGATGCATATTATAACACTTACAGATGCTATTGGACTGTAATTCATTTGATATTATTCATTCGATATTAATAACCCCAATTCTTTCATGATTATGCATATATAACTGTGGAACCTGATGTTGAAGTTATCGAAAAGAATATTCTTTCTTCAGTAATCAATATTTTTAAATTTCTAAAGGGCATTTCTGATCAGTTACTTAAGTGACAATAGGAATTGTTACAGTTTATCACACAAAATGTAAATAATTCAAAAAAACGTGAAAAAATATATGTATCAGTGTGACTGTTTAAATTTATTTTTAAAATGATTAGGAAAAACTGGGGCAGTGTACATAAGTAAAAATGTGCAGTAAAGAATTGTTACTCTAATAAAGTAATAGAAAAGATTTGTAACTCAGGTGGATGATTTGCAATTGATAGTGTTCGCTGAGCAATTAAACCAAGGAGCTCAGAGAACACTATCAATTGCAAACTCTAATAAAGTATAAAACTATTAATTTTTTTCATTCATCTTTGCATCTTCCGTTAGTCACTCAAACAGCTGATGATGATAGTATCAATGGCCAGGGCTCTGAGAATTGCGGTATCCCATTGAAACGCGACAATGAATTCAGTAGTAGATTTTGAAAGTCTGCATTATGCAATAAATTATAAAGTGTTGGCATTCGACCAGTAATTTCAAGGCTACTATAAATGTCCCGAAGTTTGTCCTGTTAAAACATTGAAAAAAGAGAATAGAGTAAACTGTCCAGCAGCTTCATGCATTCGACAATGTAGAATAAAAGTCAAACTGTTCATGATTACAATAGTGTCATTCATTTATTCATTTAGATAAATTAATCTGATGAAGAATTCTATCTCCCTAAAGATTTGAAGAGTCTTGTAGTGATTTCTGAGATATCCTTTATATATGGTAAGGCGATTTTCTTTATGCTTTCCTTGGGGGCTTTCGGTTTGATAGGTTGGCTTGGGGGTATATGTCTTTTGATGAAATTCCGTGGTTACCTCTAGGAATTGACGTCGTACACAAACCAGCAAAGTCACTTCGCTCAATTCTATGTCAACCAAAAGACTCAACAGCGGAAGAAGATAAAACCAACATCATCTACTAAATAAATTGTAACAACTGCGAAAAACACTACATTGGTCAAAGTGGACGTCCCCTTCGTCTTCGTATCCACTAACACAAGCTAGCCGTCAAATGACATGATATCCACTGCCTCATATCACTACATACAGACAAACACGGCCATCAATTCGACTGGGACAACGTTTAAATATTAGACATAGGAAACAACACCGAGAGTGCTAGAGAATTTTTAGAAGCTTGGCATTCCAGTGAATCATCAATCAATAGACACATCGAGATAGACAAAATTTATCGACCGATAAGAAAGAAACCTCACGCACCAAGAGTCAAAGTTCAAGTAAAAAACAAACAATCTGTTTCAATACAGGTAACCTAGAAGGTGTGAAAACACACGAAAACAACCAATCACTAAGTTGAAGGTGACCAGGCGAGATGATTAATAAACTCGTGGAGAAGTCTATAAGCTCACTTCAAACTGAAGTATGCGCTGAAGATGTCACCTAGTAGAGTGATGAAAGCTTCACAAATCAACTATCCAGCTCAGAGAACACAACCACATCAAAATCATCCACCTGAGCTACAAATGTTCTCTACCATAACTATTATTATTTCGTGTATTCACACCTCTGAACTAATCCCTTCACCGGATATATTTTCTTAAAAACCATATATATATATACGATTGTACAACTTGATAATAAATGACAGAATAACCTTCAGCAAGGAAACAACCAATCAGAAGAGGTGGCCTCTCTGCTAACAATAACTAATAATAATGTAAATAAAAATCTATAAATATTTGTTGATTTTCTCAATAAACAATCTGTTGCCTGACCCTTGTCTTACGTCGTTACAATACTAATAAATATCAGGAGAAATTGAAGTATGACATGTAATTCTGCTTTTTCTTTAGTGTGTAACAGTGCTCAATATTGTAAGAAACTTCTCTGCTTGACCATGCGATTTTTTAAAACAAAGTTAGGATTTAAGTTAGTGTAATAAAGCATAGCTAGTGACAACTTTTATACTGAGTGTAAGCGTTTCACAAACTTTTGTGTATCAAATATTTGTTCAAATATTATTCATCTGTCCCGTTTATCATAACAAGCTGGTAAATCTTAGATATTTAGCTAGATAGAGAATATATATATATATATATATATATATATATATTTGTGAACTTACTGATATCAAGAAGGTCCCTGGTTCGGATGCGTCAAGTACCTGGGGTTCTTGTAAGAAGTTATTTCGACTTTGACATGTTTTTACTAGACCGAAACTGAAAACCTAGATATATGAGATATGATAAGAATAGAAATTATTAGAAAAGAATAAGAAAAACAGGATATTTCATAGCATAAAATGATCACTAGATAGTTGGAGTGATATCAATATAGCAATTCCATTCCAATTGCTAAGTGAAACCTGTCAAATAAGTTTTAAGATTGGCTAATTGACAAAACGTTTAAACTGCAGAAGTCGGTCAGTAGGTGGTCTTAAACAAGATTTAACTGGGAACCTGAAGAAACCGATATTGCTTTGGAAGTCTCATACCACTCCACTTGGTCCTAAAGCTGCGATCTCTAACGATAAATTACTTGAGATGAATACAAATAGATGATTGAAGAAAACCACATAGGTGTTTTGATGTACCTAAACGACACTGTTTCCAAAACTACCAACTTACGGAAGCTGTCCTTAATTCAGTCTCACCAGATTATCTTGACAACGAATTATGAATTAAAAGCATACATATACACAGAAACTTAGGCTTTTCATATTAGTGAACTGGAACTTATATGGATATCTTGCTTTCATTTCACATACATCTTCTTAATTGTCATTATCACAAGCAAATTAAAGAGAGAGCAATTTGACAGAAATATTCCATTGTAAACTGCGTAATGAGACGAACAGCATGAATGGACTAGACTGATGGCATCCTGACCTTATGCGTGTCTATCAGTGACCCTACACCATACTGTGTGATTTGGTAACCATATATATATATATATATATATTGGAGGGGAAGTCTAGTACCAGCAGCCGCTGTAAATCCAGCTCCAAAAGCATATATTAAAGTTGCTGTATTTAAAAAGCCCGTAGCTGAACCTGGGTTGTGCAGTCGCATGCCGTTGCTTGTTCGCGGTTTTGATAACTATCAGAATTTGTGTTCGGCTTGGTATAGTGGATGTGCAGCCTTTCAGCCGTGTCTGTGTAAACGGGTGCTGACGGAGATTAGTGAATTTGTCTTACCCGCTATCTGTTGGCATGCTCATGGATGCCTTTAAAAGGGTGTTGGAAGCAGATGGCATCTATATTTTGAACAAATGTGAGGCCTTTTTGCCTAGAAATTCTTGCATGGAATAATGAAATAGGACTTCGGTTCTATTTAGTTGGTCCTCGGATCCGAAGTAATGGCTAAGAGGGAAAGACGGGGGCTTTTGTATGGTGGTGTTAGACGTGAAGTCTTGGGATCATCGCTAGACAAAATACAGAGAAAACATTTGCCAGAAATGTTTTCATTGATCAGAAGCGAAAGTCAGAGTTTCCAAGATGATCACAAATGATGCCAACTGACGATTTGCGATGGTTATATAACTGACATTGCGGGCAGTCCCCTGGACACTAGACATGTATTATCTGCGAAATCTAGATCTTCTACAGTATTCTTATTTGTCATCCAGCGTATTCCTGACTCCTCGCTCCCAACAGTCTGATGCATAATCCGGTCCACCACAGTTAAGAATATCTTCGGTGATAACAGACAACCAGACTTCCCTTACTCCTGTGTTCACTTCGAATACTTCACTGAGTTTTCCGTTGTGGATCACCTGACTGACACGTGATATCGTCATATAGCTGTTGAATGAGGTACGCCGTAGTGTTGAAGCAGTTTCCAGATTAATTCTCAGTCGACGCTGTCTGTTGAATGCCTTTTCGAAGTGGATGAATCCGAGGTAGAGGTTTGACTGGCATTATATGCTTTGTTCTGTGATGATGATGTTGCGTACAGTCGCAATTCGATCAGCGTATGATTCCCCTTTCCTAACTCCAGCTTTTTCAGGGCTAGCGGAGTTCTGTATCCAGTGTATCCTTCATTCTATCCGGGATGATGCGACATAGTATTTTCCTTGGCATGGACAATAGCACGATTCCACCCCAGTTCCTTCAGACTGAGGCCTAGGTCGCCCTTCTTTGGCAGCTTAAAGAAGTAGCCTTTCTTCCAGTCAGTAGATATCTTCCCTTCCTTCCACATATTTTGTAATAATGGCGTGAGAACATCCGTCGCAGTTTCTGGGTTCGTGGTTAGTGCTTCGAGGTGGGGTAATTCAATCTGGTCCCTCTGCCTTCTCGCCTGGCCTTCAATAGACTGATCACATTTATGATTTCTGCCTTCGTTGCAGGAGTATTGCCCATTGGCAGGCAGTTCTGTGAGTTCTGTAGGCCATATTTCCGGGCGAGTTATCGGTGGTGGTCGATTCAAAAGTCCTTTAAAGTGATCGATCCGTTGTTTGACTTTTTTCTCCTCCTCAGTAATCAAATTGCCTTGAAAATCAGTCCAGGGAGCCAAGCTCATCAACAGTGGACTTGGTTTGATTCGGCTTAAAGAGTTAAATTCGGTTCTTTATAAGCTTAGCCGCTGATATATGATTGCTGTTACCTGTTCAGTAGATATTTTGTCCTTTAAGGAATATTTAAACGAATAAGTAATTCGATGTTTTTTTGTTCAGCGAAGAAATTTCTTTTCAACGACTTCATTTTCAAGCTGTACAGTCGTATTTATATTACAGAAAAAAGGTTATTAAGTGGCACTAAATAATTGCTCAGTCAATATACGTATCGATGTTAACAACCACTGCATAATAATTGGATGCTGGGTGTTTATTTCATATTGAAAACCCTAAAATGTCTCACTAAAGAACCAAGATTTAACCCTGAGAATAAGACAGAGCAATAATGTGTGACTAAATCTCCTTATTATATCTATTGAGATGTTATTTTTGCTTACTTGAATAATGCCGAGACTATTTTACTGAAGAAAAGAAGCTTAACACCTGAAGTAATAACGTGTTTCAATCTGTCATTAGTAAACATTTCATGTATTTTCATTTGATAAGTAAATTACTTTAAATGTCTTCACATCACATTCTAAGCATGCTGCTTCTTCACTACATATCTATCTCTACATCGTGGACAACTTATAAATCAGTTTATTCTTTTTATAACTGGTTATTTTCTTCATCTCACAATAGTCCATTATCATATTGTTACGTGCGCTTGGTTGTCAGCCATTAGTTATATTCACTCTCTTGTTCACTTTTGACATTTTTTCTTTGTGATATCTGGTCACCTTGTCATTTTTCCGTGCAAACTGCGGAAACTTTGGTTGTAACTTTTCATTCGGTGCTTGGATACTGGTTTTCCTCATTTTACACCCGATATCCATTGTTTTAAAACAGATCCATAACTCCCACATACTTTATTCAGCCTGTTACCTCAAGAGTAGCTGTTATTTCAATAGTTTTGTTTGTAATTAAGATTGAAAGAGCGACTGAACTCCCTTCCCTGATAGCGGGTTTATCACATTTTATCTGGAACTATTCACAGTCTATTGTGTTTCAAATATTTTGATTCATACGCATAAAGTGAGAAACCAAGCTCTTGTCTACTCCAAAAAACCACTGGTGGTCTAAGTACTGTTTATCAGGGAACAACAAAACGAGTTGTCATCACTCTTACACAGTAAAATAATGCAAACATTTCAAATTAATAAATTCTTTATAGATAACCTTTTCCAGAACTTCTTTGGTGATAGGTTCGTCAGGGCACCGCTCAGGGACACCTTCCCTTTCTATGTTTGGTTGGTCTCTGTTATAAAAAAACCCAAAACAAACAGACATTTTTCATGAAAGATAAGAAGTGAACTAATGTCGTAATGCTTCTCTTTCTTCTTAAGGTTGTAGAAATCCAATAGTTCTTTTCATGTAGATGAATAACTTGAAACAATAAATTTTTAATCTCAACAAGGATTATATTCAGTCAATCTCTGGACGATAAAACAAGGAATGAAATACTGAAATATAGTTTAGAAAATAGTAGTTGTCTGGATGACATAATTTCAGTTGCTAACCTTAGGTATGGTATATGTATAAACCATGATAAATTTATCATTACCAAGTTGACCAAGAATGCTTTTCAAAACACAAACTATTTCAAGCTTTATAAAAAAACCTACAAATGAAGTCGAGCTGCCCGTAATATGCAGGAAACTAATACACTGAAATAAATATTTTAATTTCCAATTTGATCATTTGATAAGCACGCTAGTTTCAGCGCTTTGAAATCTAGAGTCGAAAAATGATAACCAATGATAATAATGTAGAGAATCAAGTCTCCAAGGTAGGAAAAATTTCAAATGCAAATGATTATCTGAAAAAATATTTTCTGAACAACATTTCCAACAGAAGTGGCAGGAGTATTGATTGTCAAATATAGCTATTCAATATGGAAAAGAGACTGCAGGATAACTTCAAAGAATTTTAGTGGCTTATGGTGTTAAAGTCAGTTTCAAGCAGCCAGATTCTTGACAGAAAGATACATTTCGTAAAATGACACAAAATCACTTCGATTCTGTGTTAATTTGTTTATTTGCATGTGTCACACGTTGAAATAAATTAAAATGGAATTACACACCACCACAATATCCAGGTTTTATACACATGCAGAACAGCTGTATTTATATGATAAGATGTTCGTAATGCCAGGGCTGCTATAATAGGAAGGAGCAGTAGATAGTGATAGATATAAGTCATGGTGAATAAAAACAGACTACCCACATAGTATTCACCTAAGAATGAAGTATTACAAAGTCTTGAAAAAGGATCAACTAAAGCAATACCGATTATAGAAAGGGAATATAAGATTGATTTTGATGTAATCGAAGAAGAAGGAAGGAGTTTTCATTCACACAACGAAAGGCTGACCATTGGGGTGTTACTTATTATAAACAATATCGAGTGCAGTAAATACGAAAAAAAGGAATAGGCGTATCACTGATTTGAATATGCCTCTATGCAGATTTTTATTTCACCTTCAGTTATCACCAAATACATCAGTAATAGTCTACTAACACTGAGCCATTTCATATAGCCTCACTATCAAAACAATTAAAGGCGATTCATTAATTCGTTTGACCTTTCAGCAATGACCATAATTTAGCTAATTAAGTATAATTATATTTCAATAGTTTACACACAATGATAAGTTTTGTTATTGGTAGTATTTCGAGCAAAATTACTGCTCGTGATCACACCAACATTCATGATTCGTACTCATACACATAGTTCATTTTTTGTTCAGTCAATTTTGTGCATTCAGAATTATATTCCAGGTTGTTGACAGTTGTGCTGCTGAGTCACCCTTGTTACATGTATCCGGTGTGACCTTAATGAATATAGATTCTGTTATTAGTAGTCTCTCTTTCCATTTGTTCATATTAGTTTTTAGAATACATTGTTCCAATCGATATTATGGTTTTTGTCCCATGCATGTTCAGCTTTAGATGAATTTTTGTCTAAACTTTTGTAAGCTTGTGTTCCAGTTGGCTGGCCTTTAGTTAGGCATTTATGTCCATTCACTCTTATTTTGAGTGATCTGGACGTTTGCCCCACATATTTAGTTGGACAGTCAGCACAAAATATTTTATAAATCAAATTATTTTCATCCATCATTTTTATGGGATCTTTCAGATGGTTTATTTTATTTTTGATTAGATTTGTCGGTTTAAACGTTGTGGGAATGCCGATATTTTTGAGGTTTCTTTGAATTGCCTCAGATGTACCATTTTTGTGTAGTATTGTGACTGTTATTTTGCATTCTTCCATCTTGTCATTCTCCGGTTTTACCCTCTTCTTTCTCTTTTTTATATTATCTTTGATAAATTCTTTTGGGTAGTTGTTGTCCAGTAGCATTTTTTATAGGACGTTTATTTCTTTACACGTTTATTTCTTTACCATGAGTGGATGAGCTGAGTGATAATCAAGGAATCTTCCAGAGTGTGTAGTTTTTCTATATAGCGTCGTATTTATGTTACCATCTGTTAGTCTTCATATTTTGCAGTCTAACATAGGCAGTTCCCCAATTTCATTCTCTAATTCCATAGTGAATTTTATTGAGTCAACATGACGGTTTATGTAGGTCTAACTATAAAGGTCAGTCAACTGGAACACAAGCTTACAAAAATTTAGACAAAAATTCATCTAAAGCTGAACATGCATGGGACAAAAACCATAATATCGATTGGAACAATGTATTCTAAAAACTAATATGAACAAATGGAAAGAGAGACTACTAATAACAGAATCTATATTCATTAAGGTCACACCGGATACATGTAACAAGGGTGACTCAGCAGCACAACTGTCAACAACCTGGAATATAATTCTGAATGCACAAAATTGACTGAACAAAAAATGAACTATGTGTATGAGTACGAATCATGAATGTTGGTGTGATCACGAGCAGTAATTTTGCTCGAAATACTACCAATAACAAAACTTATCATTGTGTGTAAACTATTGAAATATTATTATACTTTATTTGATCGAATCCACAATGCTCAGACTTTTTGCTGACATTAAATGATAAATAACATTCATGAATTAACATGTTTTCCATATACATACATACATACAGCGTGTATACACACACCTTACTATTTATATTGACTAACTGATACAACATAATATGTGGTGACAAATGACATTTGTTCAGTGTGTAGAAATATTGACCTACAAATGACCTTCGTACATGTTTACTTTATTTTATGTACAGTTTGATTATGTAAATTTTGTGTTAAGTACAGTCTGAGTAATTCAGCTAATATTGCTTCAACTTACAAAGTAAAAAAGCCCATAGAGATCCTGTTTCAGCTTTTTGCACACTTTGGGATTATTTTAAATAATTTTTATAATAATTAACTCAAAATTCTCTCTCAAGCTATTCTAGGAAATTCGCAAAGTCTATGGCCTGGAAATTTGTAAGGAGTTTTCGGACTATATTTAAGATTAACTATCCAACTTTCACTATTTATTTAAGTCTTTGAATTGACATGAGTGATATGAAACCCATTTGCAAAATAATATAGGGTATGTCATCTTTATCCCTTGCAGCTACCTTGAAGGTATCATCCGTATACAAAAAGTTATAAGACCACAACATCTAGACAGTAAAGCCAGTGCGTCGAAATCGACAGTAATAAAAGAATGTAGAACCTAGACTTCGCAATATGCTCTCAAAAGAACATCGGTAACAACTCAAAAGATTGAAATCAAACGAAAACCTGATAATAACTCGACTATACGAAGGTTCTGGAATTGTTATGCTCAACCAGTCAATCTATGTGAAGAAACTCTCGCTAATTCTATCTGATGATGACGAATTTGAAAAACAAACGATCCCAAAAGGATCAAACTGAACAGACAGGGCTCCAGCAAACAAAATTATTGAAAAAAAGAAAGAAAAATCAATTATTAATACAGAACTACATGAATAACTTCGCCCATCTGGTTCTACATCGCCACGAATGTACGGACTACCTAAAGTTTACAAAAAGGACGTCCCACTCCGGCTGGTGGAAATTCTTGGACCATTCAAAGAAAAGTTGTCGAGATACGACCTCCGGGACACATTCGATTTCGTCAATGCAATTAAAAATGTCAATCCCGCAATTAAAAAAAATTGGTCTCCCTAGACGTCGTCTCACTCTTCACCAATGTTCCACTGACAGAAACTATATGTTTTCTGTGTGATATCATCCAATGCAACAGCATAGGTGTCGGCATACTGATTTACTATCTAAAAGAGCTGTTACTACGTTGCACCTTCAACGTCTATTTTAGATTCAACAATGAAATTAACAGGCAAACAGATGGCATAACAATGGGCTCTCCACTGTGACTCCTCTTGGCTGACTGTTTTATGGCCAGCCTCAAAAAAACTTCTTGTCATCGACCGTCACTGACCTCCATGTTTACAAGAGATACATTGATGATACTTCCATCATTTGTGATGAGAACATGAACCTTGAAAACTTACTTCAAACCTTCAACAATGCCCACCAAAACACTGACTTTAATCCTGAAGCTGAATCCAAAAATGTGTTCCACTTCCTCGACGTCCATATGGCAAGAAATGCCGACAAATCTCTGGAAAGGTCCATTTACAAAAAGCCTACATGGAATGGATAATTCATTAACTTTCAAAACTACGTGCCCATAAGTAGAGAGAGGAACCTGATATACACTCTTTCCTCGAGGATTCGGAAGTGACTGACAAAGAACTGCATGATCTCCAAGGAACCCTGATGGAAAACAGCTTTCCGCCTAGGTTCACAGACAGGAATCTCAAATCAAAGAAGACTTCCAAAAAAGTCCAATCCGTCTCGAAGAAGATACTTCTGCTTAATCTAGAATTCAAAGGTGACACTGAAGCATATTTACTTCGTGAACGCCTCTGCAAATCTCTGCAAGCCTACGACTGACGTTTTTCTGCAAGGAACTGTTCAGCCAGAACGCGAAAGACAAGCTATCTTATTGGGACACTTCAACGTGCATATAATAGTATACTTGCTCATGCAGAGCTGAGTACATTGGCCGTACTATGCGCCATCATACAAAATCTTACAAAAAATAAGACGCAAAAAGGTAACTAGTACTCATACGTTATATATATATATATATAAATTTCAGTGAAATTGACAGGAAGACTATTAAAGATTCTATCATAGAGTAATTTTATTTGATAAAAGACACAATGATCCATTACTATATACTGATGGCATTTCCAGCACAAATGACTGCGCATAATCATATCAAGGCACTCACATAATTTTCAAACTTTGTTTAAGTAATTTAATTATTATTTTTTATCCTCCACTTAACTGTACTACATTTTAGGACTACAGCTGTGTCCCACCATAGTGTGTAATTATGTGTTAGTAAGTGAATTGCGACTGCCGAGTTTTCTCTCAGTAATGCGTATTCATTAGGTCAATCATTCTAAACTCAGCTATATTCCGATAATCAGGCTGATTTATGTAGTTGATCTCGCAGTCATTGGAAAGCATTCTATATATTGAGTTATTTCGTCTAGCTGAGTCAGTAGAGTCCTCTAGTCTACAAAGGTTGTCCCTAAGTGAGTTAGTAGGCTTAAATGCTACCCTAATTCTAGACAGGGTTTTAGATGTCCCTTTCTTATACGATAAGACTGTATTTATCTCAAATTCGTTCTTAATAATGTTACTGTTAATAGTTTCACTACTGCTTTTTTTCTTTTACCGTGGTATTTTTATTAAATAATATCGAATATTCATTGTAGTATGTTTTAAAAGGGTCAAATTACTCTAGTAGCAACTAAAAAAAAACTGTCATTGGACTCTTTGTAAAAATACTTACACTGTTAATAGACCATGAACAGATATATACGGAACATGTCTACCAAGAAGACTGGACAAACAACGCAGGAAACCAATGTATGGAGATTTTACTACTAAAAGTGATATGTAAAGCATAAGATCAGAACAGTCGGTAGTCTCTTCAAGTGATGGCTTCACTTCACATTGTGAATTGGATTTACTTTCTGTTCGTTGACCAGCCTGGGAATTCGCCTCAGCTGATTTAGCAAATATACCAAATAGAAAGTCGTGCAGTTCTTCATAGTGCTAGGAGAAGAGAAAAAATGCAGATAAAAAGCAGTTTACTCTCATAAATTTAAGCGCCTACTTCACTTTAGCCAACCTAGTCCCTCATGGTAGAAAGGTGAGCAATAAAGGTAGGCAAATTAAAGGTTAACTCTATGAAAAACACCAAATAAGATCTTACCCAAGTTATCAGATTAAATTTTTATTAAAAATTAATTTGGCTCGTGGCTTCTAAGTGAGAATTTGTTCACGAATAACACATTTTAAGAGACTGGTGCACGAATTGCCCAATCACATGCAGCACGATTTTCGATTAAATATAGTTGGCAAAGTTTTAATCAAAACTAGATGAGTCGGCTTAGTGTCAGTAACGGCTATGACAACTTATTAGTGACCCATTCCTCTGTATACTGGTGCCGTAATTGACGGTACTGTGGCTGAAATAACTAGTGGTCATGACTTACAATCAAAGACTTCATTTTAAACACCAATGATATTGGTAGATGATGCGTAGACGGTAGTTAAATTATAATAAACCCTCCTTTGAGGAGATCTTAAGAATGGATTACATTCATTGTATTACCAATGTTCAGATTTTATTACCGATATACTTTAAAAACCTGTATTAGAAGAATGTTCCTAAAAGTTACTTCATGGCAAAATGGAAGGTGCCAATTCCAGAGGTTTTTAAAAATGAATTTGTTCACTAATAGGTTAATCACAATGACTCAAAATTTCCTTCATGTTATTCAACATTATATCACCTGCTGCAAAAAAGATTTAAATAGTTGGTAAAAATGTAATCAGTGGGAGACAGGGCATTGAATGGTGAGGGTGAATAAAATGTGAAGGATGTCAAAGCAGTGAAATGTTTATAGGCATGGGAAACATTCTTTTTTATAAATCGGAACTGTTTTGTAGGTTAGGAGTTCACAAATTTCTCTTGAAGTGTTATTCCAGTTGTCTATCTGAGCTACTGTAACGACAGAAGACAAGGGTAAGGCGCTAGATAGTTTATTGAGAAAATCAAGAGGTATTTATGGCGTTTTATGCACATTGCTGTCAGGGAAGAAACAACATCTTCTGATTGATTGTTCTTTTGCTGAAGGTTATTCTGTTATCTCTTCGTAGCCGCTTCTCAGAAAGTTAAGCCATATATCAGCGAATCGTATTTGCATACGTTAAGTGTGCTGTGACTTGTTGATGAGTTCCTCAAGGTTAAGCTTTGTTATTGTTTTTATCTCTCATGATCCCGATTCAGGGTGTAAACACTGACGTAAACTGTTGTCTACAATTTTGACTCGCAGACAGCTCTCACCAAACTGCTGATCTCAGTATGAAGATTCTGCTAAATAAGTACTTTGTGAGTGAACAGTACGAAATAATGACACTGTTTAGCTTCTTATACTATCATTGCGTTCGTATGTGTTGTAATAGTTTTTCTTTATCTAATGATGTAGCATATGGTGAAGCTTCGTGTTTGTGTAATTTCGTACAATTAGTATTCATGGTGTAAGCCACCACTGTTTGCTAATGTCGATGTCTAATATTAATCATGGTGGAGCTGATGTAAAGTTAAACATAATCTGACTCTGTCACTGTTTTGAATTATTGAGTAGTACATTAGTCTAACAGGAATTAACCAGCCAAGACTCAAAGCACTATGATGAAGAGTAAGCCTTGTTAATAAATCTAAATTTACTTATTAGTCTTCTGTCAGAAGCAAAATATTTTCAACTCGATACTTGCATGAATATCCCTATTCACCGTTATTTATTAATAAGAAAAATGATAGAGAGTTACCCTTAAGAACATTGCAGAATAGAAATGCTGTACACTGACGTTCACACCTCGTATGCGCCAGGGTTTCACCATAGCTATATTAAAAGAACCATAACTTGATACGACAAATTTCACTTAATCAGTCGTATTTAAGGTGCATTACTATCACAGAAAGTGATTTCCCAACAAATCTGTCTACCTGTCAGTTATATACACCAAGTTTGGTTAGTGCTGACTAGTAGTGGAATTCAAGATGCGCTCTGGAGGTTGAAATGACGGGTATCGAGTCCGAGTCATCGTGGGAACACGATCACTCACTTGGGAGGACCAGACCTAAATAGGACGGAATGAGTACCCTTGATTCCATTAATGGTCACCATCAGTCAAATAACATTATGCTAATTCTCAGATATCGTCAAATTACGCATACTAGGAGTCAAAATGACAGTAGAGATCGAACATTTCGACCCTATCATGAGTAATCAGCGGAAAGTATAAATCAACTTCAACGGTCAACCATTCAAATTGATAAATGTAGGTTTCATCAAATTAGAGAGATGATGAATAAATTCTGATAGATGAGGTCGAATCTCAAGAAGCAGTTTGCTACAACATCACGCTAACTATCCATTTGAAAGTGGAGAAAGAAGTAACTGAAAGTCTGGCAGCAGGAATACTGCGAATCCTAATAACAGTCCATATTTGGCTTTAGTAGCATCACTTACACTGGTAGCGTTACTGAGGTATTTGAACGAGCTTTGACTGAGCTTAGATTGTTTAGTGAAAGCCACAAACTGCTGAAGCAGGAACTATATAGTTTTTGTAAGAACCGATAGTGTGAACTACCATGTTGTTATTTAGTCATCTACAGGAAAACATATACTAACTTCCAGTTTAGTAAGAACAGTGAAAGTAGACTAGGCTTATCTGAATTATATTCAGCACAACATTAAAACATTTCACAGTGGCGGTCTACATCTTCTGAATGAGATTCGATGTTTGAAAGTCTTATGCATGAATCTATTTGGTAGTGCAACTTAAAAGTTTTGTAGGTGTTTTTATGTATTGAATGTTTGAAGCTAGTTCATTAAGGTCACAACTTTACATTTATAAAAGCTCGTGGCTTTCTTAATACACTCCTACTGGAGACCCTGTTAATCTGATATACCGCCAACAAATGTACGTGATGTATCATAGGCTTGGCAAAAAAATCAGTAAGTATTATGGTTCTGCATTGGTCATATGAATTTAACACTTTTGTCGTCAATATTTCCTTCTGATTGTGAATTTTATTTTCACATGTTTTGTATCATTAATAAGGGGTGAAGGTAACGTTTATTCAAAAAAAAAAAAACCAAATAAAGTATGTTGGCTGATTGTGACCTATGAGACAAACAGCTGTTTACCTTATTTTAATAACACTGTTTTCAAACGGCTTACAGACCTGTTTTAGATAATGTAGGAAGGATAGTGAGCTTATATTTGCAAGCCTAATAAAACCACGTATGAATACATTTAACACTTTTGAGAGGGTGCAGTGAAATTTCTCGAATCCAGTTGAACGCTTTATATCGCTATCACATTGTCGAAAGTTTATCGAAGACTTCTCCACAGTTGATTGTGATGTTAAACCCAACGTGACATTTCTTGTGTAATTTTTGCTTTCCACTAAACACTTTCAATTAATATGTGGTAAACGAATTTTAAAAGAAAACATTTAAAAGCTTATTAACTGTTAAACTACTCATCAGATATATACCTTAACTCCAGTCGGAAACCATTTAAATGAAGCAAATTGAAACTGAGCTCGAGTGACGTTAACAGTTAGCAAACTTTCATGTTGAACTGACTGATCAAGTTCCATTAATCTTTGAGATAATATTACAAGACTGGATTGAGTGATCAAAGTAGAATTGTGATGTGTGATAGCAGGTTGAGTAGCTGCTAATAAGAACTGGCGCCAATCGACATAGTAAACTTGACGTTTGTCTTTTGTGCTAACATTGATCACTTCATTGTTATTATCTAATAAAAGTGGATTTTTAATAAAATCTGATTCAAATAATGAACTGTACTGGTGTACAAAACATTCAAGTAATTCATTTGACATGTCATTGGAACAAGATCCCGTCAACTCGGCAATGCGTTCTGTGACAATGGGTTTCACCATAGCTTTGAAACTAGGTACATCAATAAATCCTGAGTCAGCCAAAGCTAAAAGCTGTAAAAATAATAGGGAAGAATACGATGTAAAATGTGACTAACGTGAAGTGTAGGTCAGCTGAAGAGAAATTTTAGTATAATCAAATCCATACCAGTATTACTTCTAAATATATTAAGTATGGAGAGGAAATGAAACCTTGTCGTTACTTGTGGATACAGTTGAAAAAGGTAGTCGAAAAATAAAGTTCCTAGAACAACAACAACAACTCGTTCTACGAGCGCATTTAAATTGGTAGATACAACTGGAGGTGGCTAGGCAAGGTGCTTCATCCTTCAATTCATTAAGGAATCACCATCAGTCGTGTAGAAAATATAACTTATACTTTATCATCAATAAGAGCTCTTTGAACTGATTTTCTTCACTTCTTCGTAATTATTTAATTAGATGCGTCACCTTTGAACTGCAGTCGTATGTATAGAGGCTACTTATTTACAGATAGAGAAAAGTCCGTTTTTGCTTTCTTGGTCATGTGTTTCTTGATGAACTTTTCTAGGTACCTGTTTTCAAATAAGGAGTCACATACAATGCAAAGTGCGTCGGTGGCACAGTGGTTAGGACTCTCGCCGACCATGCACATGGTCCGGGGTTCGAGCGCTCGCCGACGCACACCTGATATCTATGGTCGGCCTGCGAATTTTGGGCTACCGATATCCACGCTGAAAATTCCATACTTGTACCAAAATACGGTGTGGAATCAAGCTGTAATCAAAAATAAAATAAAATCTTCAACAACGTCTTCTGAGCATATAGCTGTAACCTGTCGGCTGAGGGTCCTTACTGAAATGACTTTTTTGTTTCCTTCACGTTCCCCAGTGGAACATCGGGTTTCAAGCTAGTGGTTTGAAATTTCTGCAGCAGTGTTTATTTTACAGGATGGGGTTGCTAGCCTCATGCCCAACCTTTCCTCTTTACCAACATTATTTCTAGCTTAGAGAGGTACAGGAGTTCATCGGCCGGGGATCGAACCCCGTACCATGTGCATGGTCGGCGAGTGGCCTAACCGCTATGCCACCGACACGAAATGACTTTTAGAAGAAATAAATTAATTTTTTAAAGTCGCTGAATCAACTTTACGACGTATATGACAACAGACAAGTTTGGTTCAATTTCTCTGCGACGCATATTCTTACTTTCAGACTGCAGAACAAAAACACTATAACAATGATTAGAACTGACCTTCACATCGTTAAATGAAGGGAAGAAGATAAAGAAATGTTCAGTGACTTACTTCGTTTAGCAAGTATTTCAGCTGGACGAGACTAAAATACTGAGGTTCTGATTCTTTTAATTTCTTCGGAATCGGGGAGGATATTCTAAACTTCTCCATCATTGAGAAATCATCATAAGTGAGTGATGTAATACAAGTCTGTAAGGTAAAGGGATTTTTTTAAATAACATTATTTCCAAATCAAATGCAGCAAAAGCGAAAATTTTATAAGTCGTTAGACCAGCCACTACATTTATAATGAGCTAGAAGAGTTGAATGACTCTGATTGTAAACCTGTAGTACACCATCGGATGGGAATGAATGGTATATGAAACTGCTAGTATCTGGCGAGGTTGTTTTGGACAACAGTAACAATATGAAAACAGCACCTATTGCTGCTCTCCTAACTGGTAGATCGGACTTTGTTTGAAAGGCTCAAAAAATAGCGATCAGCTTCAGTCTGAGAGTCTAAGTAGTATACCAGCTGTCATATGCATTATGGAATAACAGTTAATCTCATCTCACGTAGTACTTCATGAACCAAAGATTCAGTCATTTAATGCTTTTCCAATACAGTCTAAATACTTTTTCCATAAGTGAAATGTTTTATGTTATTTTTATCACTTTTAAATGTGTCGTTACTTTCGTTTTCATCAATTGCTCATTACTGTTTGAAATTTCAGTCTAACTCTGAGGTTTAAACGTGCTCAACTGAGGTTTTGAAAAGCTGTGCTCTGATACGTTGTTTAACACAGATATTGGGACATCGCACCTTAGTATCCAGCTTATCGCCTATAATGTTAATGCTGATGGAAAATAGATAATCTCCGGGCTTGGCTGGAATTCTGGAAGGTGTCCCCATTGATATACGCTGTATCTGCGGCCAGCATGAAAGAAAGCAGTAAAGTGCCTCGAATTACCTCTCCATTGACTAACTCGGATAGTGTGTTTGCCTTGAGTTTATCAAATAAATCTGTGACACCGATATCAGAATTGAGTGGTTCAGGTATCAGAGAAATTTGTAGAGTTGAACTACATTCTCAGACTGGATCCCTGTTAACTGTCATAAATGAGGTATTGTGGTGTTAGGTTATGTTTGCGTAAGAAACAACTAACCGAATAAAAATTTTTCGTTTCCACCACATGCCCACCAGTGGGAGACGGTTCATATGCAATTAAAGATGAGTTATTCTACCAAATTACTGCCACTCGTCAGATATCTCAATGGTAGCTGAAGACTTGAATATATAAATTGGGGAAGAAAAACCATTTAATGGTTTATCAGTACTATATGGTCGCAGGTTTGATAATGAGGGCCATCATAAGCAGCTCACACTTTGTATTTAACTATAACCAAAATTCGCAATAGCCATCCCTACAGTGCTATCAGGTGTCATCCAAATGTGACTCATGCATTTGGTTGAAGAGGTCATATTGCTCTCCACTACCCAGGTTGCGGGTATAAATAGGACTATCGTTCATTTTGGAGTACTCGTCTGTATGCCTATCATGCTTTAGCCTGCATCAGATTGATAATAAACGTCTTCCTAAACGGGTTGACACAATCAAACCTACCACAACTGCTACTTCAGACGAAATTCAGGCCGAGCTAGACTAAAAGCTAGTTTGGCGAATACTGGTGACATTACGAAATAATACCAGAAGTTTACAGATCAGAAGGGCGTCTCGTTAAAAATGTCTGGGATTCTGCGAATTCTTCAATACTCCCTTATGGCGTAACTGTACTAATAATTTTTAGGCCAAACAGCGTTTTTCATGAAGGGTAGAAACAGTCTTTTAATAAAATGTCAGGTTATGACACCGGCTCCCATGGCTTGGATAAACACTATAAATGCGATCACTGTTTAGTAGCCTCGGAACTTTTTGGGAAAGGCTAAGAGGCGGTGTTGAAAAACTTAATAAGATTATCATAACAATTTTCCCTGTACAGTTACGCTAGGATAAATCATTACCCACAAATTGTTTTTCAAAACTTCAAGTAATATACATAAGATTTAAAAGGTGTTCGTAATCAGTATAAAACGGAGACATACCTCATCAATATAGAACTGTTCACCATCCAAGATCATCCTTTCTGGTAATTTTTGTTCTTTTTCAATGGTGTATCGTATAACTTCAAGCAGGCCATTCACACTAAAATGTTTGTAAACATGTTTAAATGTACAGCAAAGAGTTATCTGATCATTAGAAATTTAAGAATTTGTAGATGCTTTTTTATGAGTGGAACACTTCAAAGGACTCTTGAACTGACCACCACCTTCGATCCGTCCAGAAATAACAAAAACAGCACGTACACAACTGCAAGTTGACACCAATCCTCCAACGAAAGCTGAAGTCTTGAATGCAATCAAGCTTCTGAAAGCTGGAAAAGCAGCTGGACCAGATGGAATACCCCCTGAAGTACTCACTGAAAGCGGACCCAGAGACTACAGCAGATATGCTGACTCACTCCATTATTGCAAAATGTCTGGAAGGAGGGAAAGGTGCCTACTGACTGGAGGAAAGGTTACCTCATGAAACTACCAAAGAAGGGAGACTTAGAACTTTGTAGGAACTGGCGAGGAATCATGCTCCTGTCGATGCCAAGTAAAATCCTGAGTCTCATCATCCTGGAGAGAATAAAGGACGCACTGGAGACAGAACTCCGACCACAGCAGGCTGGATTCTTGAAAGACAAGTCATATCCTGACCCAATTACAACTCTACGCATCATCATCACAGAACAAAGCATGGAATGCCAATCAAACCTCTACCTCAACTTTATAGACTTTGAGAAGGCCTTCCACAGAGTAGTGTTGACCGTGAAGTAATTTGGAAATTACTCGAGTACTATGGCGTACCCCAAATATTCATCGACCTTATTCAACAGCTGTACGACAACGGCACATGTCAAGTCATCCATAACGGAAAACTCAGCGAGGCATTTGGAGTAAACACAGGAGTCAGACAAGGGTGCTGGCTTATTATCACCAATGATATTCCTAATTGTGGTGGACTGACTGGATTATGTGTTAGACAGTGGGAAACACGAAGACAGGGAGGGATATCCTGAACCGACGTGAAGAACCTAGAAGACCTTGATTTCGCGCGTGAATGATTTATGTTTGATGTCACGCAAAATCAAAGACTTACAAGGGAAAACCGACAAACTGATTGAAGAAGGAGTCGGCGAAGACAGGACTCCAGGTGAACATAGACAAGACGGAGGATATGAAAATAACCAACCAACCAACAACAGCAGCAACATCCAGCGCCAATCTCCACCAACGTGAGGGATTTGAAAGAGGTTACTTCATTCACTTCACTTATCTAGGGAGTATTGTCTCAACTACAGTCAGTCGGAACGGACGAGAATGTCATATCAAGAATCAGGAGGGCGAGAAACACATCAACATCATCAGCCTGAAACCAATCTGGAAATCTTCGTCACTCAGCCACCATCAACAACAAAATTCGGTAGGATTTTCAATACAAACGTAAAATAAGTTCTCCCATACAGATCAGAAACTTGGCGGGTGGGTCACAAAGAATATTTCCAACAGGTCGTTGGAGACGTTATCTTTATTAACAACTGTCTTCGCTGGCTCTATACTGAAGATCAGATGGCCGGGCCGGAAAGAATCACCAACGACAAGAAACTATGGGCACTAACAAACAAAACAAGAACCGACCACCCGACAAATATGCAGGAGAAAGTGGAGATGGATTGGACACTCGTTGAGGAGGCCGGTTGGTGACATCGCGCGTCAGGCCATCGCTCGAGTGGAACCCCAAAGAGAAGCGACGAGTGGGACGTCAGTGCAAGTGTGACATGGAGGAAATCGTGTGAAGAGGAGTTGAAATAGTATGGACTAGGATGGATGCAAGTGCAAAGTACAGCAGCAGAAGACAGAAGCAAGTGGAGACGTGCAGGTGAAGCCCTATGTTCCACTAGGAACCCAAGGGGACAATAATAATGCTTTTTTACTCACTCCACCATAGTAAATTTACATTTCAGTAAAATAAAAGTTTATGTGTGAAAATTAAATTTGTCAAAATCTCATGAATGCTGAAATAACTAAATTTCATTATTTCGTTCGGCAAACTAGTTCAAACTTCAAAAATTAGAAAAGCGAAAAGTATCTAGTTATCAGCTTAACGAATTTTGAACCTGTTTTCCAAACGAAAGGCTGGAATTACTTATTTCAATATCGCTGAGACTTCTGTACATATAATATGAGCACATATAAGGATAAAACTTGGGTACTATGGTAGAGTATAATTTCATTATGGATGCAGTTCATTTTAATAAATCACACAGTGTTGTACAGTAATATTTACAATTTTACGATCACAGTCTATTGCTCTTGACTTTGATGATATTAGATGGTTGAAGACAATCGGCACGAAGTCTTCGACCTAGGTTTCATGCGACCTTGAAGGAACTCATGTCCCTTCTGAGATTTGAACCTGTGTCACCCAGTGCTGCAGTCGGAAACATTACCACTGAACTATTCATGCTGTCGATTGACCATCCGTAGGACTATGCGGATACTTTGATTGGACACTAGTAACTAGTGTGATGTGTCTATTCCTTTCTTTCGTGCAGACTGAATTTTATCAGTCAGGTTTGCAATGTAGCCACCATTCTAAGTAGCTCGCCATCATGGTGCACATTGATTTGATGATATTAGACTGATAGAATTTAGTCTGCAACAAAGAAAGGACTAGACACATCACACTTGTTACTAGTGTCTAATCAAAGTACTGTGTGACTTTATTAAAATAAATTGTATCCATTATGGGATTATATTTACACAGATCTGGTTTTCACTCAGCACCCAATGCCTGTGAAACTACTAGGTCAGATCTTCATAAGAATTCATTTAAATAATAGACGGTTACTTCAATTCCCAGGCTCAGATAAGTTTTAGAGACAATATCTGAAGACACAAGTGTTCTTACGGTTATTTGCACTATACTGTGCTACTTTGTGATACTATTTGGCTTAAGAATGTGGAAACAGTATTCCGATATCTGATAAGTGTGACTATAATATCTATTGAGCAAATCAATGTTCAGAGGAAAATCCAAAGACATTCAGTCAATAATTAAAAGAGTAATGCAGAATATGTAGTGGATTGAATAAGTCAGAAGGTAGTATGTAGGACAATAGACATGTGCATTATCATCATTAATTTCAGTGGATACTCGACAAGACCACTTGAGGATAATGTAGAAAGATTAATGGAAAATATTTCTCTTTCCGTTGGATGCATTCTTTGTATGAACATTCTTTGATATGTATAGATTTCGATAAGATTCCAGTGATTGTTCTCAGTGAAATTTAGGCTGCCGGTGATAAGTCTATTGTCTTACATTTAGTAGAAACTTATAAATGTCCTGTCGAAATGTTAAAAACATTAGTGTAATATTCTTCACAAGTAAAAATCAGCCGTCATTACACGTGTTCATTAAGGAATCTTTAAGCCGATTTCTCTTAGTCTCTCGTGTTCAATGTCTATCCACCACGCAATTTATAATAGTTACTGCAAATTTCAAGAACGTGAAATTATAATTTATCTGTTCTAGATAATGAAAATATTTTTAAGAAAGCAACTGCTAAACCCCTGTATTTATTTTTCTAAACTTACGCATCGTGTTCTTTTAATGTTTTAATTCCAATACAATCTGTCATAAATTGTCTCAATTGCAATATCTTTTGTTGTAAATCTGAAATAATTGCTGTCCCCTGGGCTCGTATCAATGTGAGGCGAAAGGCAGTTTTAGCGGCTAAATGAAAACACGGATAATAAATAAAAATCAGACAGCTTTTGTGTTTTATATAGAATGAGTTTATATATATATATATATATATATATATATATATATATATATATATACGTATTATCCTGTCGTGTAGGATTATTTGTATCTTGCGTACAATCGAATAACTTGGTAATTAGTGCATAGTGAGTTTACGCTTGTTCATATATGTGCATAACTGATGAACACATGAATAGTTTTAGATTTCGATGCTATATTCAGCTGTTCCTATTTACTTTCTTTTTTGTCTAGAACCAAAAATCACTACAATTAGAATGAAAAGTAAAAACAGAGACAAGAGCTCCTTGTCATTTTAATGTCTGCAATGTATACAAGCAACTAGAAATTAGACATTAACTATCTTTATTGTGTATTTTTTTATAAGAACAGTTGAAGTATTAACCTGTGAACCTATTAACTTAGTAATATTGAGCAGCAGAATCTAGGATATGACTGCCAACCTATGTGAGGTTGAACAGCTGGACGTACTATTGATTTAGTGTTTGACTGTATTGCTTGAGATACTAGAGTCAGGAATTGTTCAGTTTGGGTCGTCTTCATATTAATGAAACGCCTAAAAATTTATTGTAATTAACTACTGGCCCAGTACATCTTTCGAAACAGATTTCCAGCTCTACTGACTGACGATAATCCACTAGGAGTGTCGTGTACAAATGTGTAAATCACTGACGAGTATTTAACTCTACTGTCGTTTATGAAACTTAACCTCTGGTTGCCAATTCCCGGTAAAATTATTGGATATTTTGATCATTCCTTAAAAACTGAGGTAAGTAAACAGATAAAAGTAAAAAATAGTCGTTTTGAGATTTATTCTACTATTCTATTTGAATTATATGATGAACAAGGGTAGATTGTAAACGACATGTTAATAAGTTATTCAAAAGACATAGGACTATGAGCAGCTTTGCATTTGGACACAGTTATCCCAATGTCGTTGAATAACCTAGCAACATATCGGTTAATTGAAGTTATCAATAAAAACTGTCAGTCTGTCTAATAAGCATTTTACTATCCTACTTTGTAAATCAACTGTTTTGTAACACTGATGATATACAAGTTTACAATGAAGCCTTTTTATAGCCACTTCTCAAGTTCATAAGCATATGCCAGTAACAGATGGATGAATACTTTGACTTAATCAATAAATTATTGGCCTATAACATGTATATACTTATATATATAAAATAAGCCTACGATAAGTGCATTTATATTAATCAATCCCAAAGGGAATCAGTTATCCATTGGTTAGCTTGGTGGCAAACTTATGGGCCTCAAAACCGAATAACACCAGCTAAAATATTTAATACAGCAGCAGCCTATGTAATGTAGTCTACATGCAAGACCTTCTACTGACTAAAATCTCACAATATCTAGTGTCAAATTAAAATGCATCATACTGCAAACCAATAGCGTTTCAGTTAACCTACTAGCCATATCTCAGACTTAGTCAATAGACTCTGACTAAAAATACAACTAAAACTGCACAACCACACTGCTTATAACCTGGTGATCAACTTTGGCAGTTTGCAATTTTACAAATAGGTGAACTGCTTGAATAAAAATACAGTAGTACTGAAGTTATCAAAAAGAAGAGGGCAGTATCAGTCAATTAGGACTGACTACATGGCCATACTTTTAATTGATGAAGAAAAATAAAGACCATATAACATTTCAGTTAAGCCATTGTTACTCAACATCTTAATAACCCCAGCTAGCAGATGTGCACTTTTCTACACTGCTCAAATCATCAGCCTTATTTCCAACATTAACAACAAACTAGTTAGTAAAAATAACTTTTTTTTCAGATGTAATGGTTCAAATTGTCTCCATAATATCATAAATATTACTGAATATTCAGTTACCTTCTCTTTCCAACGCAGCTATGCATTCCTCTCGAATATGCTGTCTAACTTCTCGAGCTCTTTGCTCTTCATCGGTCAGTTCCGCTTAATAGAAATTAAAAGAACAAGAGTTTTATACAGAATTACTGAGTGGTTTAAGCCATATAAGGAAAAAATGTTTTATCACCAAAATATTATTATCAAGTTTTTTAAGAACAGTACAAAGGTAGGTGTTTATTGGATTCATTCTGCTCTGAACTTAAGGTTGAAGAATGTTATTTAAGCATGAAACAGAGTAGAGTTGTAGTGTGAACTAAATTATTTACTGAATATCACTGAACAGTCTATACTGAAAACTAATTTAATGACAATGATATATATATACATATATATAAATGGCAGCATGGATGAGAATAATTGCTACTACTGTGATCCATTATCCAATTCATATTTCGTAACCACGGTTACGTGAAAAGGAATATTTTGAGTTTGTTCTATTAAGTTTCAGAAAATGTATGAATGAGTGGTGAAAGCTAGCGGCAAGTAAAAATTGTCTACTACAATTTACGTCAATGTTACGTTTTGAATCAGGGTTGTGAGAAAAACAGTAACGAAGCTTAACCTTGAGGAACTCACCAACCAGTCACAGCGCACTTAACGCACGCAAATACGATTCGCAGATAAATGGCTTAACTTTCTGAGAAGCGGCCATGAAGAGATAACAGAATAACCTTCAGCAAGAAAACAACCCGTCAGAAGAGGTTGCTTCTCCACTAACAATAATGGACATAGAAATCTATAAATACCTCTTGATTTTCTGAATAAACGATCTGTTGCCTTACCCTTGTCTTCTGTCGTTACAAATGAATGCGAAAAAAATCGTTGTGCTGAACTGTTCGTATAAGTTTACAGCAATCACTTTATCTTACAAACTTCTTTTCACCCTCAACCATCAAATTAAAGTTTGGTCGTTTATTTATTATAGATTCTATATGTTTTCGCTGAGTTGAGTTTCAACAAATGGGAAGATTAAACTCTGTAATTGTGGTATACTTCTTGTAGAAAATTATTCAAAAAGAGCGTCTGGCTTATTGGAGACACAGACTCCTCCTTTTTTTACCTAACTTCTAATAGTGCAGCGTTTTTGTAGTCAGCCAATTGTTTTCTCAATAATTGTAGAGTTTAACTGCAGACCTACATGTAGCTAGATGAAACTGAGTGGTCACTATCGTTTTACAATTACCTAAGCATTACCAGTATTTATACTGTCGTTATCTAGCGGTGGAAAACAGGACACTTTTATTGTTCGCCTCTAGAAATAACTATAGTACAAGGTTTCCACTGAAGATTTAACCCAAAGCTCCGAGTTTCGTGGGCTAGTGCATCATTCCCTGAACTACTTGGCAGTGAAAGTGTCCGACTGTATAATAGGCTCTAAATGAGACTGAAGACCTTAGTACCACTGGAAGCTGTAAAGCAGTGGTATAGACATTTTCTGATGGTGCATACTAGCAACTGCACTTACTCCGTGAATTATCAAATGATCAACATAGTAACTTGCCTGGAGTAGCTGAATGTTCATCAGATTTAAAAGCCTTTTCTTTGGACGCGATAGATTTTCTTGGTCCTTTACGGGCTTGTCCACCCTTACTTTTATCGCCAGACCCAGGTTTATTCACTTTCGAATCTTTAGGTTTAATCGCTGATTCCATTGTATATCCATCCAGTACGGCTTCACTAGCTCTTAAATTCCGTTCTGCTTGTACCTTAGAAAATGTAGAAGGAAGAAGGAAACAATGACTTATAATATCAAAGCCGAATGTGAGGTGATTCGCTCAGTTAAACTTAATAAATAGCAGGTAGCGAGAAGGAAAGCAGTCGGGAAAATATTATCAAGCATTGTTACACAACAAAACCTTGATGAGGAAATTTTGTCAGACAATAATTTATTGAAATAAGAATTCCCTTCCTATTTTTCACATATTCTGCTAAGATTAATTTAGCAACACATGTGTATCTGCTTTCAGTAGCATAAAAGCAATGAAATTTGGTACTGACATTTTTTCGGATTTGTTCGACTTAATAAGATGATGAAAGTATCTTCTGCTGTTTAATGCACTGCATAATGAAATTGGGCAATTATTAAGAAAGATTTTTATCCACTCACGTATTAATCTATCTAAGTTGTGATTTTGGGAGTAAGAAATAAAAGTTCACTAATGTTTTTCAGTCAGTAAGTCATCACCGTAGGGAATCATAATCAAACATCGGTGATATTTTCACAGAATCTGCGTACGTTTTATTCAAAGGAACATATGTAAGTGATATTTGCAGTCTAAATTTAGACGTACACTGGTGTTTCATGGAGGATATGGCAGATTATTTACTGTCATGGTTTTCAGAAAAGTAGTAAAGCTTAAAGATAATCGTGATAGCTTGTACAGAATGATCATAAATTTGTGTATTCCTACTTGCTGATGAAGTGGTGCACTTTCGACAATCAAACAAATAACATGGACTGTAAGTCAGACAGAGAATTTTATAATTGTATGGAGGATTTAACCATAAGCTGACATCAGTTAGAGAATCACTGGTGAAATCCTCCATACAATCAAACAAAATCCCTACAAAACCAATACTTGAAAATTTTATAATTGGTTGATACCATTCTAGGAACATTCTGAGAAGTCTTGTTGCTAAGATATCGGAAATATTTTTAATGAAGACTGTCCAGTAACAAAATAAGCTTTGCTTTAAGGGAGGCTTAGTATCAATGAATCCACCTTCATTGGTGATAAGCAGGAATATAGGAGAAAATTTCAGCCTGTCTTAACTGTTGAGCCTAATAGTCACCTAGCACAAAATATATTTAGGAATAGCTACATAAATTCAACTGAAGCAAAATTGTCAGTAAACTTTCAGTTAGGCTTTATTCACCGTAAGCCTGACTACTTTTCTGAAAACGATGACAGTAAACAATTTTGCCATATCCTCCATAAAACACCTGTGTAAATCTAAATTTCAACTGTAAATATCACTTACATATGTTCCTGTGAATAAATTCGAATCTCTACTTAAGACTGAGTGTTTTAAAAGTATGTCTTTTGAAATATTATGCACCATGCTAAAAAAGGAAATAACGTCACGCTAGATAGAAGGAAAATAATCACAGCTACTGACCTGGTTTGCAACAAGTTGAATTACACTTAAACAAACATTATACAGGAATTGTAAGGGTGGATCCGACGGTGAGGTAGTTTTATCCAAAAGAAGATTGGTCGGATTCGACAGACATATTTTTTCTTGTGCTGGATTAGATTTACCGGCACCAGTAGGTTTAGTTCCTTTTTGATTTGGTTGCAGTGCAGTATTTTGCGTAGCCGAAGCGAATCCACCTATTAGACGTGAAGGAGAATAGAAGTTAGATGTGTAGTTTTATCGACAGATGAAATAATTTAATAACATTATACTATCACTTAAGCTAAGGGATAAGTACAGGAACATAAAGTGCTTTATAAGACTTCAAAGTCAGACAGTCCCAGTGCTGAAACTAGCTCTGGAGTTCGGAACGATAACAGCAGAAATGCGTCATAAGGAGTTAATTGTATTATTAAAATTATTTAAATATTCCCGAAAACATTCACTAAATGATCACCACATTCTAAAGATTCCAAAATAATACTAGTACTAATGATAAATAACAGCGAAACCAGTGGTATGAGTCTATAGTGAATTTTCTCGAAGCAGAAATCATATCACCTGTTAATATGTAAGTAGAATATTGGTCTGGAAAAATGGGTTTAGAGCCTCGTTTGTTTTGATCGGCGCAAGTGGTCTGTTATCCTATGCCTGTATCTCGTAATTTTCTCATTAGTGTCAAAGTAGTCTTTCATTCTTACAAACACATCAGTTTCAGCGCATTCTCAAAACGGTGTATATCTTAATGCCTAGACTCAGCAAGATTGTAAAAAGTTATTATAGAAATTATACTAATAGAACAGCATGAAATTCTTGGTCTGGTTAGATAGTTAAATGTTAAAGTAACTATAACTTAAGTAACAGGTAATATCCTAAGCTATTTCAACCTTTAACTAATCGGTGAACAAATTATTTCAGAAAATATCTCTCTGACTTTTGTCAGAGGTAGAGAAATATAGCAAGGAACTGACCTTTTCTCTGAAAGTTTGCATTCAGTAAAAATAATAATAATGGCAAGAAATTACTTGCCATTAAATTATGTTATAAACAACAACCTAAATAGAGACGAATTTTCAGCCATCTAATCTAGATGCAAGAGATACTGACCTCAAAATTTCCTCCTTCGAATTTGTTCACTTACCAGCTAGTTGTCAAAAGCTACGCAATCCATGATGAGGGCATACAGGTTTCTCAATTTATACGAGTGAGGAAATAGGGATAAATCACTTACTGGTCTATGTATATATGTTAGGAAGATAGTAGTTCAGATAACGTGACACGGACTTGATAGGTGATAAAATCTGTTACTGAATCCTGGTAGTTATATGAATCCTTCTTTAGTAGGTAGTGACAGCCCAAGAAAACAAGAACTTAGTTCCTTCTAAGGAGATCTATACACTATGTACTATGTTCTACTTATATTTTAAAACGTAGGAAAGGTGTTCGAATTGCGTTAGGTGTGTAAAGAATAGGTTTTAGATAACTGGAGGACCGGTGTGATTTGTAACTAAACATGATTTCTCCATATCAATAAAATAACGATTTTAGCCTAGAAAACTCCTCTTGTGACGATGTATTTTTTACAGCTGTATTAATGGTATTTAAAATACCGCAGCACTTATAGGAGATATGTGGAAAATTGCAAAAAACAATAAAGAAGAGAGGAAAAATATATATAAAGCAAACTGTGAAGCCATGTGAGTAAACTCATACCACTGAGCAATAAATTGTGCTCGAAAGGGTATCCAGTTTCAATACTGTATCTCTGTGTGTCATATTGAATAAACGTACCCAATATGGAATCCGAAAAGTCATGTAAAATGATCAATAGTAAACTTACTTTTACTAAACGATGCAAACACTTCTTGTAACGAGGAATTGTAATTCAGTAGATTAATCTGACTACGGAATTCGATAGGCAAGTTCTGAAACTTTGAATCAATCGGGGTTGGATATCGTGATAAGGAATTATTTCCTGAATCTGTAAGTTTTGATTTGCTTCCTTTATTTGAACTGGATCTCGACGAATTTTGTCGTGTGGATGCACTTTTGCGCAGATCAGAATTATCGTTATTTTCTGACTGATCGTCGGGTAGCTATAAATGAAGACAGGTATGACCTTAATATTAACATTGGACAACGTGTTATGACAGTACTCAAGTGAATAATGACTGTTTAAGACAGAGAGTAAAACCACTATTAAAACACATCAGAAAAAGCAATCTTTATTATTTACGGGACTCAGTCAAATGTCGTTTGCTTTGTAAATCTTCGTGTTGAGTAACTGTGGTAAGATAAATTTGCCAGAATTTCTATTTTTTGCTAGGGTATGCCTGATGTATTCTTATGTATACTTTTCTATCAGAATTCTGCAGTTCCTCTAAACTGCAATTTCCTCTTTTAAAGATCATTTGTATATGAAAAGAAAGTAGCGACATAGTCACCCAAAACTACGAGTTCCTGAACTCCAGTCCTTCTGTACATACACATAAATAGTTATACTGGCATTCTATACTAGTTGCATAGGTAGAATTAACTTTAGCTCTGAAGTTTTACAGATAGCCGGCAAAGAAATTATTCATAGTTATTTAGTTAAAAGCTCATTATCTGCCAGGTCACCTCAAAAAATATTGTTAAATTTCAAATGAGATGAGTACTTCGAGAACAGTCGTGTTGTTTACCACATTTTGTGGAGTGAATAATCAATTCATTTGGGTGAATGCGACTCACTGCTATAGGCAGTCACAAGGTACTTTTGTAATAAGGCAAATAAAACCAAAATAAAGTCAAGAAACACTTTGTATTAAGTCATTTTAAAGAGATTACTGAAAAGAACTATAAAGTAGTAGAGATCAGATGAGTAAAATAATATAGACTATACAAAGATGCTGATGGTAAATAACTGTAGAATATAATTCAGGGGACAAGTCTTCTTTCTCATTAACTCGGAAAATTATTCGCTATGTTGCAAGCGAAATTCCGTTTGTCGCGGTCCTTAAGGTGTCAGGTCACTCGGCAAAAAATCACGATATCTATGGATACAAACAGTGAGAAAAAAGATCCCAAACGGAACTAGATTTTATAATCACAGGTTGATTTGTATTACTCTGTGTGAGGAACAATAATCTTGTTTCATCCACGCTTTTCTTTCTTCTTCTCTTTGCACTTTCGTCATGTTGCAATATTATTAGATTGATTTAACTATCGACAGTATATATGAATATATATGGTTGTTTGAAATTGTCATCCTTCTTGAGGATTTAGTGAAGAAAAATCGACTAAAATAATATTCAGTCTTCTCAAATAATTCTTTCGGACGAAGGTTGCAAACCATGAAAATGTTTAGAGAACAATCCATTTTGTATTTTAACTACAGTAAACAATGTACACATCGACAATTATACATCTCATCCAACAGTTATACAACAATGCTGCAGGCCAAGTAATCCACAACGGGAAACTTACGGAAGCCTTCGAAGTGAGGACGGGAGTGCGACAAGGCTGCTTACTATCACCAATGATCTTCCTGATTGCAGTAGATTGGATAATGCGACAGACAGCGGCAACCAACGAGGGAACAGGCATAAAATGGACTCACACAAAAACAATTGGAGGATCTGAACTTCGCCGGTGATATCTGTCTGATTTCCCACAAACTGGAAGATATGCAAGTGAAAAGCAACAAGTTGGCAGAAGAAGCATTCAGAGAAGATAGGACTTCAACTGAACATAGATAAAACAGAGGTGATGAAGATTCCTGGCCAACACCAATGGCAACAACAACAACAGACAACAATCAGCCAGCATAAATGGGAGGAACCTGAAAGAAACAACCTCCTTCACCTACCTGGGAAGCATCGTTTCAACTACAGGCGGAACTGACGAGGATATCAAAGCCAGAATCGGAAAAGCAAGACAGGCTTTCATTACTCTTAAGTCTGTGTAGAGGTCAACAACACTCAGAATCAAAAATAAGATCCGGATTTTCAACTCCAATGTGAAGCCAGTCAGTGCTACTATATGGATCAGAGACTTGCACAGCATGTCATAAAGAGCATCTCAAAGAAACTTCAGACCTTCATTAACAGTTGTCTTCGCTCAATACTCAAGATCAGGTGGCCGGCCAGAAAAGATCAGCAATAGGAATCTCTGGCAATGAGCGAACCAACCAGGAACCGATTGTGCAACAAATAGGCAGAAAGAAATGAAGATGGATTGGCCATACACTGAGGAAACCATCAAGTGACATCACTAGACAAGCCATTGCTCGAGTGGAACCCGAAAGGGAAGCGGCGAGTTGGTCGTCAGTGCAAAGGTGACTTGGAAAAGATCATGCGAGGAGGAGATGAAAACATGTGGGCAAACTTGGAGCGAGGTGAGAAAGTTGGCAGAAAACAGAAGGCAATGGATGTGTGCAGCTGAAGCCCTATGTTCCTCCAGGAATTAAAGGATATAATAATAATAATGATAGTAAACAATGTACACATCTAAGTTATTCCTTTTACTGGTAAACTAACTTTCAGCAGTGGTATTCGTGTATATTCCATATGACTTGCATCCACTGTTCCAGCCAAAGACTGAATAGGTTCACCTTCTACTGTTTGAGGTTTGGCTTCCATGGCACTAGAATCGGTATATATGAAGGATTTTTACAGGACACATTTATTTCAAAATCATATATATATATATATATATATATATGCCACTAGTATGAAACTTGTATCCCAAATGTGCTGGGTTATTATAGATGCTAGTCCATGATAAAATTTCAGCATGAATTTCGGATGGAGCTCAGTAGAAAATACGGTAAATAAAATTCAAAATTGAATAGGACTACTCGTTCTGATAGAGGCTCTTAGATTCAATACAGAATACTTGATTAATGTATAAGATCTAATTAACACTTTTAACTCTAATGAGAACTATGTAATACTGAGATGGAGTAATCACTTTCTTATCCCATGTGACACTTCACCAATGAGAGTAGAGCAGTCTGTGCTACTTAGTGGTTAAGAAACTATGTGGAAAATGGTAGTGTTGGAGGAATGAATCCAGTGATACAAACGTTAGATGCAGGTGGCATTTACCTAACAGTCGCTAAATATTATAAGTCTGTTCAGTTAAAAGTATCACATAAAACTCGTAGAAGTTAGTTGCATGGTATACATGATTAATGTGTAATGTAGTATTAATGACAGAAACACAAATAAGGGTAGCAGTGCAGTCACTAAAATACCCAATAGTAGCACATATTTTGATGAATAATTGAAAACGTAAAGGTCTTAGGATGTTTAATCCCATTCTCAAGGTTTGGTGGACATATATAGACAACACATTCACAGGGTTGAGGTCTGGACTTATCCTTGGTTTCTCTATACAAATGAAATTTAACTCGTTTTCGAGTTCAAAAATGAACATACCGAATCGGGTGTCGTGTAAATGTAAAAGTAAAATGAAAACAAGATATGGGGTTAAGATACTAGCATCTATAAAACAATTCATTGCATTCTGATAGTTAATTAGAATTTGAATCATCCCACTCAAAATTAGCATAGGTTGACTTTGTTAACTGAACTAATCGAGAATGAGTTATCAAATTTGAATAAGGCAATCAAGCGAATAAGGAAAATAATACCGTTGAATAACTATCCACTAGAATTCACTGGACGGTTTATAAAGATGAATAAGTAGGAATGTAAGTAGGAATTTAAAGTTTCCATTCTAATACTAGATCAGTAAGGAATATCAGAGACTCTGCATAAGATTCTTATTAAGCCAGGAATTAGGTTGGAATGTTAGTCAATCAACTCATACATAGACAAACTTTGTCATCTTAAAGTTCCGATAGACCTAATTAGGCAAACTAATATAATTTACCAAATACCATGTAGTGTGTATGAGGTCAATTACATACGTCAAACTGGTTGATCAGTGTTTTTAAGGTTATAGAAAAGTGGAAATTTAGCCATACGTAGAATAACTGACCGCGCCCGATAAGTCACGGAATCTAAAATAGCTTGGCCTCTGGCATGCATAAGTTTGCATATAATCATACAATAGAGTGGGGGTACGGCACAAGTTTTAAAAAAATTAATAGTAATAGTTGCGTGGGAAGAGAGATTAACTAACGAATTTCAATCACTTCCTCAATACACAGAACAGGAATGCCTGAATACTAACCTCGGATATGCGAAAAAATGCGTAGACAATCAGTGGGGGATTAAAAAGTATACAAAGCAAGTTATGAAGTCAAGTGAAAATAGGAATGTGATTAAAAGAAATTGAGCTCGAAACGTTATTCAGTTACTGATTATCTACAGTTGTGTGCTATGTAAAATAAAATAATTTAATATTGAACAATATTCTACCACACTGCATAAATTCTAACCTTATAGTATAATTGACCTTTTCAGCTGAAGACTTTTGTGCTGATCTCTTTGTGAATTTCTGACAAGATCACTACAAGGACAGGATTATGGTGGATTGAGTATACGAGATTATTATTTACTCAGAACTTACTAGATGCATGAAATAACCATATTGTTAAACTTATTAATTTTATTGGTTGATAGTAATTACGTCAGGAAGTCGAAAAAAAGTATAGGAACTTCAACATTATAACTTTTCGTCTCGAATTTGATTTGTATTTGATGACTTCGTTGAATTCTGAATTTTCCCCGAACCCACTCAAGTAGATGTCGGACATCAACAAATATCAAACTACAGCACTACTTCACGGACCAACCATACTTCTTGTACGCACTACTCTTCGGTTGTATTCATAATACGTATTTCAGCCACCAAAGTCACTATCGTAAGATTATATTTATTACTGACGATGATCTCCATCTCATATAATATCACAGCCCAATGAAAGTAATACTGATCAGATAGACATAGCCTCCCAAATAGACTTTCAACTCAAACAGCACTGATTTACTAGGCGGTGACAAATAATCACAGTCAAGATAGCCAGAAAAAACGGATATTTAAATCATGCAGAAATCTGAAAGCTGGCCTCACATGAGGTTAGTGGTAAAGCTGTTGTCCAGAGGAAAAATATAAGCTTCGTAATTAAAGCATCCAGCTCTAGAAACATGCCAAACATTAAAAAAACTTCACACGATCCTTAAATCTCTATTACTTCAAGACGCTGAGTGCGGCCAACGCTCCTATCGGTGTTTGTCAAAATACAGATTTCCAGATCAAATTAAACCTTTTACCCGTTATCTCCAATCATTTTCCTAGCTGAGATTCTCCCCATATTGATCACTCATTTAGGAAATTTTGAATGTATTAACCACCCAGTAATAGATACTCACTGCCATTGACTCTAGGCACTTAAAATAGTACCAATAAAAAAGTACATTTTGATATATCTAGTGGCTTACTTGTAGTAATCTTTTATTAGTTGTGCATGTTCTTGAAACTGGGTTAATTCAACTTGGAACAGGGAGAGGTATAAATTAACCAGTAATTTCTCCTTGTCTGTAAACCAACCAGGAATATCAAGCAAGTTTTCTAAATGATTTTCATTAGCTTGCTTTGACTCATCTATAATTTCGTACAGTGTATCACGAAGATCATCTGTTCGACAATGTAGGTCAGCTTTTGTTTCTCTGTCTGCTCGCATGTCATTTGGTAATGCATTAAATGCCTATGGAAGAATGAAATGAAGATATACGTATAAGTGATTAACTTCTGAGATTGTCGCGTGAGTCTACTCAGAAAATAGCACGAAAGTTAACATAGAACCTCAGACAGAAATTTTAAGGCTGAACACAAATGGATTTATATAGCTGGCTTTTCTGTACACACATAGAGAAATAAATTATCATTAATTTGTGAACATTAAAAAGATAATAAGTGGAGTGCGATGGATTCTGACAAGTTGCAGACATGATACATAGGAAAAGTTATCCTAACGTAAACTGAAAATAAGTTTTCGTAAAGGCTGGAAAACCATGGTGAACGGCGAAAACGAAAGTAATAAGAAATACATATGCACTTATTAAATAATACTGTTTCACTGTGTGATACATCTAATCTTGAATATTTTGTGTATATAAACATATATATAATTGTAGAGCCGGAAAAGGAATTTATCGAAAAGAATATTCTTTGCTCAATTATTTTGTGTTTTATAGATGTTTGAATGAATATTTTTGTAATATGGAATTACTTACTACCACAGTGCCCAAGTTTTACACATATATTAATATCTAAAATTTTTTAGGTCTACTGAGAAGACAGGACCTACTAGAGTGAGACGATCTCCAGTGCGTATAGGACCTTGTTATCTTTCCAAGTTTAGGACGAAAAAGTTGAATCAGTTTTTATCATAGATCGTTAACCATCATGGTGCCTGTACATATGAAGCATAGACACGCTATACGAAGAATTCCCTATTTCAATTTTTATTATGTAGTTTACCTACTTACTAATTTGTAAGTAGACAAATTTTCACTGAGAAATTAGTTGGAGGAGGCTTTGACTTCTGATCAATGATTGCTGGACCTTAGTCTCAGTGAGAACACTACCACACCGGTCACGTTATCTAACTCAGTCTGCAATAAGACTAAATGAGCGCCATGAATTTTATTGTGATATATCCAAATAACGTCAAACTGAGCACGTTTTCAGAAATGCATACCGGTGGGTTCGGCGACGTCAATTAATTTCTACGATACTTGATAATTGAAACGTGAAAAGCAACCACTAAACTAATTCAAATCCTTATGGCAGTAGGAAGTTGAAGTTTTCTCCGTTTTGAACAAATCTACGTACTTCACTGGATTCTTTATAATCTCATCATCATTAAGGCTGTTTTACAAGCTAATAACCATCACAAATGCTGAAATTTTTTAGTCCTGTTGGCAGCCTATTTGACTGATAATTACAAATGCCCCGTGTACTACTGATTCTGTCTTTATTCTCTTTGAAGCCTAAACTACTCCCGGAAAAACAGTGTCTTTGACGATAAAGTTGTCAAACAAACATCCTATTGACTAACATCCAGTACGCAACACCAAAACAGAAATGAATAACAATGTAGAAAAGTGTCGTATCACTTAAGCTTAGTGAACCTGTTAGATAACTAATCCGCAGATTCCCTTCCACACGCTTGAAACCAAATATTCACATCTGTCGTCATATAGCAATAAATTGGCGTCAATTAAAACTCAAATACTTCTGTTCACTAGTAATACCACAGAAAGCTAATAAAAGTTTTCAAACGCAGAATGTCACAAAAACAAGCCACTAGTTCGTCTCACCCAAATGATGCAATCATGTTGAGAATATAGGTTATAAGCGCATAAGTCTCTAAGGCGGCATATATCCCTTTTCTTCAAATATCCTGCAAAATTTCGTTTGCAAAACAGTATTTATCAGTTATCATTGTTCACCTAGCTTCAATGATCAGTGCTTGTCAAACTAACGTTCAGATTGAGAGTACAAAGTTGTTTCCTGTCTAACTAATACAAAAAAAATACAGATCCATACTGAAAATGTGTACAGATTAATTGAACAAATTTTATAAGAAGAAATGATGAAACTCACACTGATAAACTGGTTGACAAAATGTTGCTTTGAATCAGGTCTATACAAATAGTTATAAAATTGTTGTTTAATATAATACATGTATGGTATAACATTTGTATCTAGGAGGCGAATTTGACGGAAGATCGACTTCAAATTCCTTTGATATATATTTTGTGTACTATCCCATAGTTTTAATAATGTCTGTGCAGTCTCCTAAATTAGGAAAGAATAGATATGTGAGAGCTTATTTTAGAATAATTCTTTGAATTCACTACTGCATAATTTGGTGTTTCTTCTTATCCTTTCTATCTCTAGAACATTATTCATCTCCAGTTACTTTTCCATTGATTTGTCTGTTGATTTCAATCACTTGTTTCATCCATATTACAGAAAGTTTCTATCTGGTGACTGGCAGGATCTTGTAGTTAGTTTCCCAGACTTCCAGTTGTTATCTCACTACTTGGTTCAGACAAAACTTTAGTGCCCTTGTATATATATACGAAAACTCATGTTACGGTGAGCGTAGACTGTTTTTTGTTGCCATGAAATCTGGTTAACTTTGCACACAAAATCATGATACCCTTTAAAAGTGACTAAATAGAATAATTGTAGAGATAATTAAAGTGATCAGCTTATAATGTTTTTTTTTTCTGCTTGTTAATTGTACTTACTCAAACATCATCAGAAGCGTCATTTACAGTAAAATCAGAAAATTTTACTCCTTATTCCGCTTAATATATATATATATATATATAGTACGTGAAAAGTTAATATTTGTAATAAGATGCTTTGAAAATAATTTAGATTATCATCCTACTTTGGAGCAAACAGTTCATTTGATGGCTGGTTGACAAACGTAAACATTTGTTCTTGATTGAAAGACTTTCCAAAATAACAGAATCAACAAAAATTTGTCATACTGAAGGTTTTAACTCTTAAAACTTACTTGTATGATTGGTATATCCACAAACCTATAGTTTTCATCACCAGGTTGTGGTAATTTCGGCCGAGGAGTTGGGTCTTCGTCAGGTGGTTTAACTAACTGTGGTGAGTCATTGGGCTTTGATTTCATCTTCTTTGATTGTTTCTTTTCACTACTGGAACGGCTTCTAGACTTTGTCCTGTTAAGAGATTCTACCTGTTTATTGTGATCACCTGAATTTATACGCTTCCCTTTACTGTCATTATGCTTCGAAGTATTCCCTGTAGATGGAGATCTTCTTTCAGCTTGTGTAATGAATTAAACATAATTAGAGATAGAGATAATACTTGGAACTAACAAAGGATTGGCATCTATCTATGATATTAATGGATCATGGTTTTGATTCCTCTGACAGCGTGACAAATCCCCACGTGAATTTAGAAATTATCTGCGGTTAGTAGGTGTCACAGCTAAGATTGATTTCAATGCCTAAAGATTTTGTTTTGCTTGGAATTTGACTAATTCTGATTGAATTGAACTATTCTGGATTTGTTTTTACAATTTTTCATCTAATTCATCAGGTTATTTTGATTCGTGTATTTCAGTTCGTGTTTTTTTTAAAGCACCCTGTTGAAAGTGTACAGCTTCGATTATTTTTTTATTGTGAATATATATATATACATCTTTTACACGCCGGACGATTAAAATTCTTAGTATTCACGGAGTTTGATATCCTTTTTAATTTAGCATGTGAATACGGCTATCGACACTATGTAGTAAATGTACACAAACTCTAAATATACAGAAGTTTAAGTCTACGGTCTTTTCAATCCTGTTTGTGAGAGGAAACACTCTAACAAGTGAATTTGTCACAAGATTTGGAAACCGCTGAGAATATATAATTTTTAAAGGCCTAATAAGCTAGTTAATGTGATATACAAGTGGTAAAGTTGTTAATTTGTTATCCTTGAAGTTAGAAAGTATTCCTAAGATCTTTCCGAATACATCTCCATCATGCTCATATAAATTATCCTTATGTCTGTTCAGCCACTAATATTGATTGCCACCACTTAGTATGAAAAGTATGACAACTAAAAGTTGTTTAAGTACTGTTTTTGAAACTTTGGACGGTACTTCACTACTGATCCAAAGCTACTTTAAAGAAGAGGAGTAAACTTTCTATGCTGACTAACCACTTGACCCGATAGAATGAATCACTTGTGTTTGAATCGATTCTGAAGAAGTACTGATAGAGATAAAAGGATATTGATTGGATATTTGTTATTTTGTGTCCATGAGAAAACTAGTATACAGTGGGACGACACTGCAATTGTTTGTGTGCCACTTTACAGTTGTTAGGTCAACTGAAGGAAAAAGTGATCATGAGAAGAAAATCAAATGTTCTTTAAATGTACTCTAGAAATGTTCTGTAGACCATTGGGTCATTTTTATCTCAATTGAAGTGATGAAAGTATCCACTTGGAATCTGACTTAATTTTTATTACTCGATCACCTTATGTTTGTGAGTTGGTTAATGCTTCAAGTAACCGTTACCTAGGTCTGTTCTCATCTCTCCAAAGCCATCACTGGTATCACAAAGTTGCCATAGAAAGTCGGATAATCAAGCAGTTTGTGAACATAAGCTATTTAAGATGACATTAAGTGACTGGTTGGAACTGGTAGAAAGCTAAGGCCATTTCACTATTTATTAGCGTCACATGTACTTTTCCTATGTAACAAAGAAAGATTGAGTGTGATCAACCTGAACCTTCAGGTGTCTAAGCGTGAAACTACCCGTACTGAACTGGACATCCTTACCTATTAGAATTTGAAAAATTAGGATGCTGCATTTCACTGTATTGGTTATGTCGCCTTTTTTGAAATGTGATTGCTTCTCTTTGTATGTTCATATTGTTGAACACTTTTCGTCCCAACTGTCAATTTATCTTTAAGAAAACTGGGAAGAATCCTTAGGACTGAAGCAAACCCAAATCCTTTGCATGTGTTAATCAGTAAGTCATTCAATTTAAAACCATATTTACCGCGAGCTTCACTAGTCATTACAACATGGGTAGAATACTTAATCGTGTAAAGCTTTTTTGTTTTCATTGGTCTTATTTCAATTAATTTACTATGGTAATAAGCCGATTTAATTATTAACAATGAACAAAATGCTGATATAAGAATGATGAATACATATCTCTGGTAAATTACCTGATTTCCTGTGACTTTCAGCACTCTTCTCTCTTTTGCTCGCATCACTTTGTCGAGAATTTCTGGAGTTCTTAGCACTAGGTGAGATTTTAGCTGTCATAGGACGTTCGAATGGTGGTGATGAACCAGTATTTTCTTTAGTCACTTTCATATTTTCATCTTCTTTATTGTCACTGTTTAAATCTAATTTCTGGAGTAAAAATATTTTTTGGAAGAATGATAAAGAAAGGTGATTGAAATAATTAATGTCAGTGAGCTAAATCAGTTTATGAAATGGAGTTACACTTCAGGCTTGTTAGTACTTGATTATGTGAGAATGAATTTTGTTAATCTCTTACTCAATGGAGGATCGTCTGAAATAATAAACTGTCAATAAAGGCTGCACTAAATAAAGAAATACATCCTTAATTAATCATTCTGTTGTTATTTTATAGGCATATATTATGCAGCCCATATCTCATCACTTACGCTTGCGGCCTCTATAATTTTTTACTTATTGAGAAGAATGAGTATTTTTATTTGGTGCTGTACTTTTAAGGTAGTTCGCAGCTGAGTTTAGGAAGGTGGTGATGCAACAAAAGTGTTGTTATCCCTTTGACCGGTGACTTATGCTAGTTCAAGTGTATTGGTTTAATAAGTGGCATATGGTATCTGCCTAGCCACTTTTTCTATCAGGCTTTTGAATCGAAGGCATCTTAAGACATCTAACTACAATAAGTGATGACAAGAGAATAACTTCAATTTTCTTAGCAGCAGGGAAAATGCTTAATTCGCATTCTCATTACATCCATAACATTTTAATGTTTGATTTTAAGGATATGAGTAATATATCGATTAACAAATTTCTTGAAGTTTAACTCAGATGTATTTGATCAGTTTTCGCTAACTGCTATTATCAGTTAGGATCTAAATTCAGCTAAGATCTTTTTGCTTTCGTCGACCCAATGTTCAGACTTACAGTTATAGCATGTAATTTTAGTGTATTGAATTATTTTATTTCGTTTTGAGAACAGATCAAATATGTACTTGAATGGGTTAATAAAATCCAACTAAACGAGGCAGTTGTGCGTCTGTGGTTCAGCTGTATAACCCTCATCAACAACCTACGTATTTCAGGGTTCTATCCTCGGCCGATGTCCTGCTAAACCTCATCGGAAATAACCCATTTAAAAAGAGAAGGTTAAGCATGAGGCTAGCGACCCCACCCTGTAAAACTAAAGCCACTGCTACCGAAACTTCATAGCTGATGCTTTGAAACCCTGTATAAAGGAATAAAAGAAAACGAAGCAGTCGGTTGAAGCACCTCACATGTGTTCAAAGGAATTTCACTCTGCAGTAAATTGTAAAATTAATTTAAAATATAAGATTCTGGTTGAACGAGTCATCGATGGGAAACTTATTTAATACTCTTAAGCCACTGATCCGTTGTGCAGTGTAGCGATTAATAAGCTTGTGACATATGTTAATAAAAAGGGTTTACAAGTGGTGCTTTGTGTGTGATACCTTCTACAAGAACCTGGAATAACCTGTAAAGCCTGAATGTCTATCACTTCAGAAGCCGCCTTTATAGTCCTATAGGAAGCTCCGGATATCTCGCTCTTAGAAAGTTGCAGATTTGGGGAACTTTATCTGATCAAAAGCACCAATATCAATTGTAACAGCAGAAGATGGTCGTATTTTGTATCAGAATTCCCAGTCTGGCAATTGGTAGATATGCTCTGATGGCAAGATACATATACCTAACACTGGAGTTTCCTCCTGCATAAGTTTGTCATATTGTATGTCTTTGCGTCGGTGGCACGGCGGTTAGGAAGCTCACCGACCATGCACATTGTCCCGAGCTCGATCCCTGGCAGATGCACTCCTTTACCTCGCTAAGCCAGAAATAATGTTGGTAAAGAGGAAAGGTTGGGCATGAGTCTAGCAACCACATCCTGTAAAATACACACTGCTACAGAAACTTCAAGCCACTAGCTTGAGGCCCTATGTTCCACTGGGAACACGAAGGAAAAAATAATGTAATATAAATTCTACTTATGCCTTCGTTTCATGCTTTCCGTACTGTTTCAGATGGACCTGTCATTTCTCCTCTTCGAGATCTGACCTGTCATTTCTCTATGCGAGATCCTTGTAGAAGTCATCACATACACTTTTTATAAATTCTTACCAGTAGCATACGTCAGAGCCTAAGTAATACAATACTGTTTGTTATATGCTGAGGCACACATGTTATTCTGGATACTTTATGTTAAAGCTTTGTGCTTGGGCCCCTGGTACATAACCTAAGCAGAACTGGTGGACACTTAGGAATGTATTCTGATGCAAAATATGTCTCCTGAATATCTTTTCAATCTAAAGTTTATATATCTATTTGCTTAGTAATATTCTTCGAGAGTAATACTGAACGTGTGATGGTTAGGCGATTTCTCCTTTGAGTAATTTTCAACCGTTTGGATTTTCTAATCATTTACAAACAGAATATGCTCAAGTGAGTTTGTGTTAACAACAAATTACACTGTAACACGCATAACTCACCTTATCATCCTTTACACTACCCACCTTTTCACTGGTAGAACTCGGTAGCAGTGTACGCCTGCTTTCGATATCTTCATTCTCATCAATATTAGCAGGAGTCCCCGGTGTCTTGGTTCGATCTTTTTCCTTTTGCTCGATCAACAGTTCAATTTGTCTTTCAATTTCTAGATAAACTGCTAATTTCGTTGATTCATGGTCTGTTTCAGGATCATAGTCAATTTCACCTTGGCTGCTATTCTCAGTAAAATCATGCGTATACGTTGAATTGACCAGTAAATCTGTTAGATTCACTACACAAAGGTTTGATAATTTATTGTGATAGAATTTATACAGCTTAGGCCATGACTGTATAAATCCAATTAATCTTTCAGTTATATTTCCTTCTGTTTCTTGTAAAGTTAAGGAATAGTTAAAACTATCTGGTTGTGTTTTGGAGTTCTGAGGATCCGCCATGTCTTTCGCACCATGGCTATCATTTTCAGCTGGATCACTGTGAAAAGATACTGGATTTGTTTTTATGTCCTCCTGAGCATCCAGTGTCATTAATGTTGAAGGCAAATTTGAGTCCACCTTTGTTAGCGTTGTATGCGCTAAACGCTTTAAAACAATTTCATCTGATATATCTATTAAGAGTACGCAGTCTAACCCTTTCGATCGTTGAATATCTTCTAATTTCGGTCTTGTAGATGAATTATCCGATGGCGTATTATTTTCTGATTTACATGTAGTCAGCTTCTCTTCGAGCAACTTCGCTTGATTATAAGTAGCTGGAAACCCATCAAGTATAAATCCTGTTGTAGGCTGAAGGATCCTAGACGAAAGCGAAAAGTAATCATACACGACAGAAAAATATATTATAGATGGGTCATGTGTAAACAGTTGGGGGCTTGTAGGAGGACCTCTCCTTAGCTGTCTTGAAGTGAATGATGCTTCATCACGGATTTAAGTTTCATTTTCTGGGAGAGACCATTTGATATTTAATCACCAGACTTTTTATATCACCAGTGATTTTCTGAATGGTTTAAACAAGCGTAGCAGATGGTCAGCAGGATGGGAATGTGAAACACTATAGTTGACAGGATAGATGACCGTTTTTCTTATAAAAGTCGACAACAGATGACCTTAGAACTTAACCGGTAAGACGTTTTCAAATCAAATATGATTTCCTACATCCATAGGAAACGGCCACTTCAACATAAAGGCTAGCCTGAATTCATATATACTCAGGGAATAAAGACATAGATAATCTCAGTTTTGTGACCACCTTACTCAATGTTTTTCACTGAGCTTTCTAGGCTACATGACCCAAACAGTTTCACAGTACACATGAAGCACTTATGTGTGTATTCCATTTGTTATATTAATTAAACGTCTCCACTTTGACTATGATACGTGCATACTTTACTACTTTGCCTTTAATTTTATCACGAATGGTAGATAACAGTAAATAACACGCATCCGGTGATTCATGTCATACAACAGAACTTACTTCTTGGCCAGAGAGGCAGTAGTAGACAAAGAAAAAGAAAATTACTTATGACGTTTCAAATTAAGGGAATTTCGGGATTTAAAAGAAATTATTTTGATATTAGTCATTTTTCACTGTGCTAATTTGTTAAGCTGGATTTAGACGGATAAAAGATCAGATAAACCAAAGGACTCATGGATCTCATTAACACCTTAAGTATTTGCAAGCCCAAGCTGTTTCATCTTATTTTGAGACTACCCATCAGTGCACCCCCGTAACCCTGCCAGAGATCGACCCCAAGACCAAGCAAGTCGACCATCCAGTCACCTGTGCTGGAATTCAGTGCCCCCTGAATTCTAACTTTGTCAACTTATCATATAGCGCGGTTCTCACCGATGTCTTCTATGAGCACCCACTTTTACCTTGACATGGTGAACCCCATTGGCCGTGACTTTCCACTGTAGCTCCAGGATATCCATGCAATAACCATGAGTGAACTGGCGACTGATATTCAGATTATAGGATTTGTTTTTTTTTCTTTGGTTTTATACAAACACACAACCACAGCAAATAATCTCAGATGAAACAGAAAATTAGACCACAGCAGGATTTGAATCAGCGGTCTTCGAAATACCAAGTAATATTTATAGTTTCTTCTAACTTACATAATCTTTTCATATATTAAATCGACTATAAGACTGTCGGGTACTTCTTTTCCGCTTTTTAATTCATTCCATATGATTTCTCCGAGCTTGGCCCTAGACGACAACTACAACAGAGAAAACAATGACATATATATATATATATATATATATATATATTATAAAGCGCACCAGTCTATTTAGGAATTAAGACGATAGCCATAGTCCAAAAGACATGATTCCTTTAATTTTTCAAAGTGTTCTTTGTTATTAACTGAAGTTATTTGTTGACTGCAAACGTGAAGTCCATCTTTTGTTCTTAATTAACATTCTGTAACTATAAGTCACACACCAGCTCTCGAATTTCCTTGAAAGTATCAATAAATTCTCAGTCAGTGATACACAACATTGATAAATGTGAGCGATACCCAATCCTGAGAATTCCTGCAACGTTTCTTGAAGCATGGAAGTTAGATAGGACAAAGTCATAAACATGATTTGTGCATGTAATGAAAGTTGTTCAAACTTGGCAAACCCGAATGGACAGATTCTTAATCACTAGTAGTTTAGGTGAGAATGAATCATAAAGATCCATAAAAATTTTGTATTTTTCAGTGGATGAAAACCCGCAGGATTTTATTTTTAGTCATATTTCACTGTTCAATAATACTAACAGCAATATCAAAGTAATCGTAAACAAAAATTTACAAAATCTCAACGATCGAAAAAATACAATGAGCGTTTCATAGCGGAAACACTCCACACTAAATGGAATCCAAATAGACTAAAGCAGAATGATGGATTAAGACAGAATTAGGCCTGAATTCAGACCTTCCTGTCCCTGCCCCAACGAAATTATATAGCTAACTAAATGTAATAAACATTTTTCATTGTGTAAATAGATGCCGTTTTTATAATTCACACACTTATCATCAAGTGCAATAATCTGCACACGTGTGTTATCCCCTCACCAAAATTAAATCAATAAGCTATGAAGAAAGTAAGAAATATTTCAGCGGAGAAAATTTTCAAGTGTTGGTTTGTAGGAATTTGATTGGTTTCAGAATTTCATCATGAGCTGAAATTAGTTAAAGAACCATTGGAAAACCTGGGAGTACTGGACAGCTGTTTCGTCCGAGTTTGGGACTCCTCAGCAGTACAAAACCACCGGGATTCGAACCCAGGACCTTCCGGTTACAAGGCGACCTCGTATACCATTAAGCCACTGGAACCCGATCCAATGGTCCTTGAATTCTAACTTCTGCCAATTCACTTCATAGCGCGACCGCTAGCCAATGTCTTCGGCGAGTAATTGTCCTCACATCCGATCCGCTGCACCCTACTGGTCACGACTTCCCACTGGAACCCAGGTAACTACCTACCTATCAATTTTTTTTACTTTTACTTATAACGATCAGTGTGCTTTTACTTTAGTAATTAATTCACTATTGTCACTCTCACATGTTCCTTGTATACGCTCCTCACTCTCTTCACACTTGTTAACTGGACACTCAACCATCTTTCTTCTAGCTCAATAACAGTTTTAATTAAACTTATCAAATTTCCCACCGTTTCTTCCTTTGTGACGTTGAGAGTCTTACGTGATTTGTAACTTTTGTTTGTTTTTTTTTGTTTTTGGAGCCACTTTTGAGTAATTATATCAACTGTGTCGCTCCCGTCTCTTATTATTCAGCAATGGACTACTATCTATTTTTGGTAAATATAAATACGACAGTAGAGCCTCTGAAGTTGATTTGTTATCTTTACTAATTTGTTCAGCTGACGAAACAGAATCACGTCATACCGAAGACCTATGACTGAGTTTATGCTGAAAATTTGTAAACTTTTAGTTTCCTATTAATTTGATAAAGCTGTTAGCCTTTAATAGTAAAATATCAGCAAAAACAGTATTGTCTTATTTATTAAGTCATTGGGAAACACACACAGCTACACAATGCTTAGATTTTTTCAAACCATCAAATGTGAACATTGTTTATACATCCATGGCTTAATCACCATCTAGCCTAATTATCAGAATATTGCTCCTGCAATGCATGTGTACAATGTCAATGAGATCTAAACTGGTTTCAAATAGGCGTAATACATTCCCCAGTGTTCCAAGTAACGTTAATGTATTGTGAAAACCATTTTCATAGCAGTAATATTCCCCTAAATTTTCTACATGGTAAGTATTTTTTTCAACCAATATACGATATACACGTTTTTATAGAAATACTCGGTTGCATTCTAGAGGTTTACCCATGAGAACGTAATTTGCCAAGCCTAAAATCTTGTTTTCAGCAGTGTTTTATTGTATAATAATAATGTACAATAAGACATGACTATGACATAGTCAGTGAATTTCCAATAGCCACATAAGCATCCTTCTCACATTATTAAAATCAAACAATTCTGTGTCATATTATTAGTTTATATCAGCTTTAAATGATATAAAAAAACTAACCATGAAAACTACACCATTCTTTATTTATCAGCCTCTTACCTCTGTTTCAGCCTACAATTACAACTCCCAAGAAGACCATTTCACACATCTTTTAGAGAAGTAAACATGCTTAGGTGAAAAATTGTAGAAAATTACCTCTGTTCAGGTAGAAAGAATAAAAGTCATACTGTTATTATTATTGTTCCCTTGGGTTCCTAGTGGAACATAGGGCTTCACCTGCACGTCTCCACTTGCTTCTGTCTTCTGCTGCTGTACTTTTCACCTGCATCCATCTTAGTCCATACTATTTCAACTCCTCTTCACACGATTTCCTCCATGTCATACTTGCACTGACGTCCCACTCGTCGCTTCTCTTTGGGGTTCCACTCGAGCAATGGCCTGACGCGCGATGTCACCAACCGGCCTCCTCAACGAGTGTCCAATCCATCTCCACTTTCTCCTGCATATTTGTCGGGTGGTCGGTTCTTGTTTTGTTTGTTAGTGCCCATAGTTTCTTGTCGTTGGTGATTCTTTCCGGCCCGGCCATCTGATCTTCAGTATAGAGCCAGCGAAGACAGTTGTTAATAAAGATAACGTCTCCAACAACCTGTTGGAAATATTCTTTGTGACCCGCCCGCCAAGTTTCTGATCTGTATAGGAGAACTGATTTTACGTTTGTATTGAAAATCCTACCGAATTTTGTTGTTGATGCTGGCTAAGTGACGAAGATTTCCAGATTGGTTTCAGGTTGATAAATGTGTTTCTCGCCTTCCCGATTCTTGATATGACATTCTCGTCCGTTCCGACTGCCTGTAGTTGAGACAATACTCCCTAGATAAGTGAAGTGAATGAAGTAACCTCTTTCAAATCCCTCACGTTGGTGGAGATTGGCGCTGGATGTTGCTGCTGTTGTTGACTGGTTGGTTATTTTCATATCCTCCGTCTTGTCTATGTTCACTTGGAGTCCTGTCTTCGCCGACTCCTTCTTCGATCAGTTTTTCAGTTTTCGCTTGTAAGTCTTCGATTTTGTGTGACATCAAACATAAATCATTCACGCGCGAAATCCAGGTCTTCTAGGTTCTTCACGTCGGTCGGTTCAGGATATCCCTCCCTGTCTTCGTGTTTCCCACTGTCTGACACATAATCCAGTCAGTCCACCACAATTAGGAATATCATTGGTGATAATAAGCCAGCACCCTTGTCTGACTCCTTTGTTTACTCCAAACGCCTCGCTGAGTTTTCCGTTATGGATGACTTGACATGTGCCGTTGTCGTACAGCTGTTGAATAAGGTTGATGAATATTTGGGGTACACCGTAGTACAGGAGTAATTTCCAAATTACTTCACGGTCAACGCTACTCTGTGGAAGGCCTTCTCAAAGTCTATAAAGTTTAGGTAGAGTTTGATTACCATTCTACGCTTTGAGTTATCATAAATGGGAAAGTCAGAGGTGAAAGCACCACACCTTTTTTCGTGGATACTTTTTTTAAGCTGCATCAACTAAAATATCCAAGAATGCTTCATAGCAGCTTGAAAAAAGTTTACCTCAGTAGTTAGTGACTAGTACAGAGTTATTTCGCGATCATCCTTAGCTCCTGTCCATAAGTAAAAAAAATTCGAAGTAATCTCATTTTTCGTAAACCCTAAAGTGAATAGACTGTACTTAGAATCCTATTAAGAGACCTGTATCTAAATTACAGATACCTTACTTAGAGGTTCAAATGCAGGTTATTAGCAGCTCTAAGATGTCAGGAACTGAATTCTTGCAACATAATCATCGTCATCTATTTGACAGCAAAATATAACTCTAAAATAACTACAATACAGGCAAGGTAATCGGTTGCACCAAATACACTCCTGGTGCATTTACACAAATTACCTATGCACACGCGCTGATATGTCAACAATAAAATAATGTTCTATTGAAGCTTTAACAGCAGGAGGCAATATAATAGTCAGAAAAAGGCGATTAAAGTGAACATCAATATTTGCATTACGTCAACTAATTGCCAAAATTCATAAAATCATAACTGTATCCAGGACAAATTTCCGACCTATAATTAAGAAAGCTAAGGATGAATCTTTAGTCTACTAATCTCCCTGTATTTGCTGGAATTCATGAGTGATTTAGAAGCATTTGATGAAATTATTTAAAAAAAAAACATCTCCATCATTCCTTCTCAATACGTTAATGCATAGTTGATAAATTAAATCACCCACTGTTGAAGATGGCATAGGCTTCGACTCTTCTAAGTTCAAAACATCGGTTGTTTCTCCGAAGCACTCCTCAGTTTCCTTGTTTTCATAGGCTTTTAATGCTTCTTTGATGAGTTGGAGTGGATTTATTCCAACACAGCGATGGTCTAGATATAAGAAAGTACACTTATTAGACAGGTACCGAAGTGTGTATAAAACAATGATGCAAACGTACATAGTTTTAAGCTTCTATAACAGTAATTAATTTGACAAACACCATATCAGTTTCATCAATTTCGTCAGTAAAATAATAGCTTCATTTAATTGCCGATATTACAAGAATGCAAGTGGGAAATAAATCAATTGTCGAATCTTTGTTCGCTTTAGACGATAACAGCTTCAAAACTGATAAACTGTTAGGTTTATTCTTAATGCTATAAGACCAAAGGGTGAAATCGTTTGTAATTTGCTTAATTATACTTCACCACAACAAAGAACAAACATCATAAATCTGATTCTGGATTTATTTCGATGAAGGTAGGACTGTATATCACTATTCTAAGAGTTTAATTTATCCTCCAAAAAAGGGAAACATACTGACTTTTACTCACAAATAAGAGTTTCAAGGTGTTATATAGGCTGATTTAATCCCATTTATAGAAGATGCAGGATAGTATCATGTTCCCGCAAATTCGGAAATACTGACAAAATACAGTTTCTGAACTATGCTTCCTTAACAATATTTGTCCAGTACCAGTGAATAAAAACGATTATCAGTTTATTTGTCGCTAATCTGGGTTTGGCATTATTTTAACTCGATTACATAATCATTACTTGGTTTGTTAAAGAGGTTGATATTGTACGGTGGACAGTAGTGATCAATATAATATCTTTTTATTTTTTGAAGACAAAGTGTTTCCGTATGTAGTTTTTAAAACTACAGTCTACTGACAGACAATGTTAGTAAATGAATGTCTTAGGTTGTTTGACTACCTTCAACTAATTGAATACATAAGTTGTAGTCAATACATCCGAAAACTGATTCTAATTATGCCAAAATCTAGCATGACTTCATTTTTATATTTCCTATCCATCAGAGTTTGTCGCACTTCATTTAAAACTTGGTTATATGTGTAGTTAGTTCTCATTTGATTATATCGGTCTGTACATCCTGAACCTTCATCTGAATGACATTAAATATTTCTCAGAGTCCCATAAAAGATCTGATGAAGTAGACTTAAGGTTTAAAAGAGTAATTTTTATTGGATAATAAGAGGTACTCTTCAGCAAGATTTTTATGCAACCTAGGTGGAAAATATCGTCCCTGAGATTTGAAACCACGTCTTCTAAGTGTATCTTCATTTCGTGTTGATCAAAGAAATTTTTGCATACAATGTTTCCTGATTTTCCCGAAAATCAAGAACTCCGTCTTCGTTGCGTTTGTCACCAGTTCAATAAAAAATCATCAAATTGTTCATGTCTCCTTTGACGCTTAAAACTTGCAACCATCACATACTCATGAATCCATGCTGTAAGCCACTGATCTACATATATTTGCGGCTATCATCATTTCTGTGAGCCTAGGATCCTAAAAACATGTGGATTCTGTGTGTGGATAGTTTGATTACTGTATTAAGTAGGCCATTAAGACAATATCACCATCAGTTTATTAGTGTATGAATGTTTTACTTTATTTTCGACTACTCGAAATCAAAGTACAACAAACCGATAGGCTTCTTTACTAAATGGACTACAAAATCGCTAACAATACAATAATCTAGAATCAGTTTTACTCTAAAGCTGTCAAATTTGATTAGAAACTGTCATTACGGTGCTTTCCTGAAAACGTAGCTCTATGTAAGCATGTTAAATAGTAAAAATGAATGACACAGAACAATTATAAAGGAAGCTACCAATTAATTTAAAGAGAAATTGAAGTTACTTTTCTCCAATTCGTGTATAATAGTTGTTTTCCCGCTTAAAGGTTTTCCAAGTAATGCCATTTTGATGGGGAACTGTGGAAGACATGATTCTATCGGCTCAGGCTGTAGTGGGAGTAAAAATATGCACAGACGTATAAGAAGATGAGCTGATTAATTAGCGTAACTGTGACAAGCTAAAGAACATTTAAAATATGGCTATGACTTGGCTTTATTAAAGGGAATTAACAAAAATTTTATTTGAACTTACTGTGCATATTTTAACGATAATTTTGTGATAATTATTTTCAGGTTTTCATCAGAAATTAGAGTTCATGGGCCACTAGAATTAACTCCAGTAGCTGGTTTCCAGTGGTTCTCTAAATGAAGTCATTTCGTAAACAGACTTGATAATTATTTTCTGTTCTCCACTGGCTAACGTCTGACTGTTTATATCTCACTATTATTACACTATTGGTAAAATTTGTTTATAGTGGGTATAAGATAGATTGCTTCGTTAAAAATTGCTCTTCACCTCAGTTTGCATACAACTAACGTCAAACACTGCAGTAAAAAGTCGCTTGAAAGTTAGTATCATATATTTAATCACTGTATGCCTGACTGACTGGTTATCACCTTTTCAGAAATGCTGATTATGCCCTAAGCAAATTATAATAACATATAATAAGATTACATCTGAACACTACAGAGTGGTTTCCAGAGAATTCATCTAAAGTCAGGTATTAAACGCAGGTATCCCAGCCTTTTAGTAACCATAATCCAAAAGTCACTAGTTTCCAAAAGGCTTAGTACATTTGTCTCACCATCTTACGGGATTTTATACCTGAAGTCAATTTATAACACGCTGTGCCATAGCCAGTGACAACTTATTTACAGCACAAATCCGAGTGATATCGTTTAATGTAGACATAATATTCTTTTTTCACTCATCTTTCTTTACTATGCTCTAAATATGAAAGCAATGCTGTTAATCACCTGACTTGCTTGCATACAATCAATGCTTAAAGTGCATGCACTTGGCTGAAACCAAGTATATTATCTTTTCTTTCTTTGTTTCATGCGCAAGAGAGCTTGTTAATGTTATAGGTTATATACACATCTTATTTAGAAACTATTATTTCAGCAGCATAGAAACTTACAACGATTGACAAGTGATGACTACATTTACTTGTCCAGACATTTTGAATGAAGCAAAAGCCTTCTGATTATCAGATAAAATAGTAAGTAAAATGATGCACAAAACGAACTTTTGTGTTCGCTGGTTAAAATTCTTGAAACACTTACAGTTGCTGGGTAGTTGATTTTGCAAAGTCGTTTAATAATCCATTCTAAAACTGGATTACTTTTAAGAAGACAGATATCATTTGGTAATTTTAATTCACTAGATTTCAATTCATCGTGAAAATCAATCCATTCAACAGGTTGACCTTGAATGTGCGGTGTTAATTCACTTGGCAATGATTTCATATGAACTGTACCGATTTTTGTCAAGTCCCAATCACCCACAAGATTCTGAAAAGCAAGTAAAACACTAGTCAACTGAACTGTCAAGAAGAAGAAGAAGAAGAACCACTTTTTGAAAGTATCTGACAAATGTACTGCGTTCAACGTTGAATCAGTCAGACAGAAAACGGCATAACCTTTTTAATGAATATAATTTACCTACAGAGTATTTAAATATTATTATGATTATTATTACAGTGAACTGAGTTGCAAATTTTTTTATTTTTCTTCACTGCTAATTCGAATTGGAATATTACCAGTTTATCCAAGTAGCCAGGCAGAATTAGAGTGGTTTGAACTGTTTTGGCTCTCTGAATTGAGTCAAAGCTTGTATACGGCTGATCAGCTCGGCCAGTAACGAGCTTTTAATTATTTGATAAACATTAAATGCTTAACCATCCCTTCAATCTCCACCTAGTTTTGATTAACCGAGCAAATATGTATCACCGACAAAGTCTTATGAAGCTTATTTACAGTGAAAACGTCTACTGATAAAGTGATTAGTTAACTTTTAAGCTTAATAACTGGGTGTGAATTGGGAGCGAAGTTGCATTACAGTTAATTTCTATTACCACAGAAGTCTTGGTATTTAATCATTATCTGTGTGATAGGGATGAAGAATTCTATAATTTGGCTCATTATAAAACACACTCCAATCAAATACTTTTTTTCGATAATTTCTCATCAGGTTTTACAATTACATAATAAAATATTAATTATAAACATTTGAAACCAATGTGGTTCATTAAAGTTTAGACATTTTAAAGGTGTTCACCTCAGTTCTGTAGGTTTTTACGCCTTTGACTGCCAGGCGCAGTTGATACAGTCACCATAAGAAGTCGTAACCCCAATCTATCTGTTCAGAAAAAGTTTGTCTAATCCCTCTCCGTCCCACAGCCTAGAATAGTTATCTTTCGCGGTGAAATTGGATAACCATAATTGTTATCTTTATTTGTTCTGTTAACTTTATCTTTGTTATCAATATCATACTGCGTTGGAATTTCATATTTTAATTTTTAGTTTGTCAACCTGTTATAAAACCGAACACCATTATCTTATCACTATGAGACAGTTGTTATTTTCCCCTCTACTCCTCTACTCCTACAAGTTTACACATTCTACTTATACATTTAAAACGATCGATTACTTTGATCATATAAACTCTCATGAATTTATCCCTTACTATTATGATCACTTCGACTAGTATCCACTAAACTTTAACTTTACTAACCACATTGGTTTCAAGTGTCTATGATTAATACTTTCTTATGTAATGGTAAACCCTGGTGAGAAGCTACTGAAAATACGCATCTACCTAAATTGTGTTCTATATTTATCTTATTGCGAATATATAAATCAATTAGATTCGGTCATGTCTTGGCATAAATAGAGACGGTTAAACAATTTTCAGAATTAGCAGTCTCATTCAATTAATACTCAGTAGCGTTATCCTAATAAAGTTCAGCATCTAGAACAAAGCTTCTACTACAGTACCCATTAGCATCTGAAGGTAAGGATGGTAAAGTGTGTTTCATATAGGCGCTAGAATGTAATGGACTTAATTTTCGGAATTTAAAATATCTTCATGTTTATTTATTAGGTCATTGGTTCATGTTTACTCTACTTTTTTACATATGCAACTGTTAATTGTTACAACTTGTATTGGGGCGTCTTGTTTGCAAACGTGTATTCTGATAAATCTAAAAATGTAAAAAAAAATGAATGGACATACAACAAATTGATTGGAGGATTTCATCATCAACTAACGTCAGTAAGAGAACCATTAGAACACCTGGAAGTACTGGACAGCTGTTTCGTCCTAGTTTGGGACTCTTCACAGTACGCACCCGCCACCAGGGTTCGAACCCACAACTCTCTGGTTGAAATGCGAGCTCGTAGACCATTAAGCCACTGGGACCCGATCCAATGGCCAGTCCATGAATTCTAACTTTTGCCAATTCATAACATAGCACGACTACTTCGCAATGTCTTCTTCAATGAGTTACTGCCTCACCTTCACAAATTGGAGAATTTCGGAGATCGTTGTTCCCTGAACCTCAACTTACTGATTAAAAGATAATTTGTGGTCCTTGTGAGCTGACCTCCTAGGCCCAAGCAGCCTTCAGAACAGTAGGGGCCCACTGTTAGGCAGCCCAGAATCAAGATAACACAGTCGCTCGATGATCCTACCAACTGGTGTTGACTCTGGTGCCATTCATGATTCTGCCTATTGTCCCGATCTTCATCAATGTGGTCAGTATCATCAGTATACTCTGGATCAGTGAAATTCCCTGGTCAAAACTCAATTCTCCGTTTTTATACGTGGTTCTTGGAAGTGAGCTAGTTTTAACTCTTACCCTTTCGCACACTTTCAAGTCAATAAGCTGAAAATCACCCGAATCCTCACAAAAATATCTTAAGAATTATTTCCAGTAGTGTGATTTTCTTTTAAAAAAGTGGATTTACTGCTTGATAACATTACTCAAAAATAAATCATCGGATAGTTTAAGTTCCTGTTACTAATCTCCAGATGAGGTTAAAATGTTATTTAGGCGTGACGTCACTTAGTAGGTAATTAGAAATAATAACAGATTAAGAAAAACTAAATTGACCGATGACCTACCTGGTATTCATCCAAGTCACAATCATCAAGTAATGCTTGTTGCTCCTCGAAAACTTGACTAGGTACCAACTCGAGCTGATCGGCTTGGTTCGTAAGTTCTTCTTCAACAGGATCTTCAGTATGTTTTGGCTTTGGAAGTGAATCATCTAGTAACAAGCCGTGTAAAAATTCAATTTTCCACTGACGGAATAGTCTCAATGGAATAAGTCTTTAAAAAAAGCACAAAAATCAATTATGTGAATAATTTTACGGCAAATTTCTGAAACAAAAATAGCCAGTAATCATCAGTAATAGCCTGTATATTAGCAGATAAATAAACAGACACATTGGTCAACACAAAATTAATCTATTCATATTAGTGTTTGATTAGGCACAGAGGAGGTGAAAATAAGCGATAAAATGTTAAAACAAACCAGAGGAATATAAGCATAAGGAAATGCTGAACTCCCATATACGGAGCATATTTAAATCGCCAATCATGTAGGCAGGTGCTGTACTAGACTGTCTTGTAATTATATATTGGGGATGAGGAGTTGACTTTTCACTACTTAATCACACGTTTCAACTTCACTTATCTTGTTCCAGTACACGAACTCAGCGTAAGTCGTGTTCTTCCCTCAAGCTTTTCAATTTTTCCTGAGTAATGCGTTTACTAATATATAGCTCCCAAATGTGTCCGTACATGATGACAGAGAAATTAACCTTATGTAACTTTCTCTATCAATATAGGAATCCGGATTATGGCTCCATGTGAAAAAGATATTTCGATGTTTCGTTGAATAATCAAATTTATATATTAAAATTATGAATTATCTGTAATAATTTTCGATGTATTGAGCAAAAAGGTGATTCTAACAATGTACAATGTTGTTGGAGTATGCTGGACTACTTTAGAAGCACTTTGGAAAACTTCGACTCCCAGAGTTTGTGTATGTCTGTAGTTGTAAGAAAGAGAGTTTATCAAACCCTTCTTACTAGAGTATTGAGTCTGTATCGATCAGCCATCTTATCAGCTAACTGTTTCGGTCAGCCTGTTACTTCTGAAGCTGGCCATTTGTACTAATTTTAACACCTGCAACCCAACTGATTACTGACAACTCTATTCATTTCACGCACGGTTAATAAATGAGACCAGCTAGAGAACTATTGAAGACCAGGGAGTAGTGAAAAGTTTAGAGTTCTTCATCGATACGCACCTGTTATCCCACTGAAAATCGAACTTACGTCACGCACTAATTATCAGTAACTGACTGTGGGATGGAATTTCCGGGGTTCTTGTGGAAAGTTGTTAGGACAGCTACTTTTCAGTGACGTTGGCTGACGATAGTACATACTTTTTCAATCGAAAGCGCCCTATTTCGTTGGTAACGGAAAGTGGTGTGCATGAAGACGCTGTACTCTCTCTATTCCTTTTTTCTTTCTTTTCTTATGACCTTCCGTATTCTTCCAAAGCTAACTTCATTAAATATGCCGACGATCTAGCCATTTCTGTCCCAGTAGTTTATGGATTGGATTGTTCTTATATAAATAGATTCTTATCTGAAGTTAACAAATTGTTCCAACCAAATAGCCTGAAACTGAATCCATCTGAATGCCATTTTGTCGATTCCCATGATTCCTGCAATACTGATAGCACTGTGATACGAAGTGAATCAAATATCGCTTATCTCAACATCAGTTACTCTTCGAATCTATGTTGGTCGTCTATATCCTACTGATTTCTAAGAAAATGTTTCGCCTGACTTACTACATAAAGACGTTAAGACTTTCTGCTGGCAAAACTCAACCTCTTCTCTTATAATTTATTAATTTATGTATTCTGTCCATTCTTCTTTATTGTTTTCTCTTAATTTTCCCTGGACTTCTCAAAAAAGACTGTCATATTACGTAGAACACTGAAGGCTGTAAGTAGGGTTAGTAGTGTGTCTTTGACTCAACTAACTGACATGGTCGTTGATAGGCATTTTAATTGGTCATCTTGTCTGATTTTGAACATCCTCTTTATTCACAACTTTTTCTTTGTATCTCTCCGGGTAAAATCAGAATGAACTTCACGCTCGTACAGCTAAATACATGCCATACTTGGCACGGGTTTTGTAATGAACAGTCAAGTGTCAGAAAAGAGCCAATAAACTTTTTAAGTCAGTGACTGAACTGTAAATTATAAGCACATATTATTATCATTATGTGTATTATATATTATATTTACTTGTAATTTATTATGTTCCGCCAAGTTTCAGTTTTTTGTGTGGTTTCATTACTTTTTTATTATATGTATCGACATATTTATAAAAGGAGATAAATTACTGTAATATGTATAAAAATGCTGAAAATTCCATTCTGTATAATTATGATTGTTTGGAAGAAAGTGATTTGACAGAAACCAGAAGTTATGGGCGATCGGGTTCCTCTCCAGTGAAAGAATGCTCGACGCTGCCACCTCGTAACCTGAAGGTCCTCCATGTGAAGCCCGGTTGGGTCATAGATGCTTGCTACCGAAGAGTTCCGAACTAAGAGAAAAAGGTCATTTAGTACCCCTTGGTTTTACAAGGCCTTCTCACTGATATCAGTTACTGACTTGCCTAAATTCATTCAAGTCTTTACAAAACACTATTTCAAAACCCCGCATTGACGACTTCCTGATACTTACGATGAGTGACAGTCATGTGCTACAAATTCACTGCTTATCGGAAAACAACAGAATTCTGCTACTATGTTGAGTGATACGTCTAACACAAAACAGGAAAACTAGGGAAAAGTAAGTACACTCTTCTGTTCAGAAAATAACAGTTGTATAAATAGGAGAACGTTTACGACAAACTGGCTTGATCACTTGCCATAAGTGACTACTTTTAAGGGGACACTTAGGCTTAGAAATTCATGTAGAAAACACAGAATCTGGTAGCTTCTGTTTTCTTCTCGTTGTTTGTACAAAACAAAACTTTTTCAGTGCCGAGCATTTTCTAGCGATCTCACTTTGAAAACATTACTTTGAATTTTCGCTGATGGTGTCATCTCTAAATTTAGCCCATACATTGAACTAAATTCTCAACGTAGAAATTTACTCAATCGCGTAACAACATAAGTTACGACACTTCATAAGCGCACATATAAAGGCGGGGAAAAAGGAAGTATCTGCCACCCATCTTCTTAGGGTTTTGTGGTTAGCTAAAGACATTTCCTTCAGTTAATTCTGAGCAAGGCATCGCATCTTATCACAACTTCAGCCAATACACTATTTCACTGATTTTTAAGTTGGTCTATCTTAAGCAACGAATATAATCATTCGCCATAATATAAACCGAAATATCTGAATTTTACTAATATCACATCTTTACTAGCAGTTCTGTAAATACCTTTGAAAAACTTCATGAAATAATTCATGTAGCATGTCGCTCTTTGCGGCATTTATTTCAAATGGTAGGTGTAAAATCTAACTTAAGCACTAAGTTAGATTTGATTGGACACCAGTAACTACTGTCATGTGTCTAGTCCTTTGTTTGGTGCAGAATGAATTCTATCAGTCAGTCAGGTTTGCAATATGGCCACCATTCTAGGTAGCTCGCCATGACGGTGCACGTTGATTTGATGATATTAGATAGTTCAGAGCAATCGGTAGAAAGCCTTCGACCTAGGTTTCGTGCTATTCGACACTTGTCAGCAAGTCACGTCTGCAACTTTGAAGGAACTCATGTCCCTGACTGACAGAATTTAGTCTGCGCTAAACAAAGGACTGGATACATCACACTAGTTATCCGTGTCCAATCAAAGTATCCACTACAGTCCTACAGGAGGTCAATCGAGAGCCCGAATAGTTCAGTGGTAACGTCTCTGACTGCAGCACTAGGTGACGCGGGTTTGAATTTCAAAAGGCACATGAGTTCCTTCAAGTTTGCAGATACGCCTTGCTGACTTGTGAGAGCCAATTAGCACGAAACCTAGGTTGAAGACTTCGGGCCGATAGCCTCCAACCATTTAATATCACTAAGTTAGATTATAATTCCATAAGAGAATAATTTTATTTGGCATAGTGCACTACGTTACAGTATTATTTACTTATCGGTTGGTAATAATGCTGAATTACTGTGCCTTATATTTAATAAAATTGTTCTATTACTGTAGACAATGTATAGCGAACAGAATAATAACTGTGTATCCTTCTGCAGAATATAGTGGTAATTGAGAATATCGAAATTTTATCCAGGTAAGGTTTCCAGAATGGCAGAATCGTTGAGCAAGATAGACTGTTGTGTGTGGTGTACATCAAGTGTTAGTTCAACTCTTACAACAACTTGACAGTACTGAGACATCTGATAACAGAAAATACTTATAAATATACTATAATGCATCATACCGTAGTTTTTACCAATATCTGATGAAAAAACGTGTACGGTAGACAAGGGTTGGTGATCCCCTAACTCTTTCTTCATCACAAGCATACAACTGTAAAATCATTGAAATCAAAATTAAATGACTACAAAAACACGAACTGTTTCATTTCGTAAGTATATATATGTATAGTTTTCAAATGAGATACCTACTTTCCTGTGTACGTCCGATATTCAGCAACATTCATAGCAAATTGTAGCAATAGTGGTATAATATTGTTTTGAATAAAGTCATAGTGACGCTTGTATGCAGCTTGACGTCTTTCAGCTTTTTGTTCTTCCCAAAATTGTTTTAATACGGCAATTTTCTCCTTCTCTTCTTCTTTCTGCTGGATCGCCGTTTCCTGTAAATAAAATATTTACACAAATATTTAAGATTATTGTTCAACACTATACTTATTTATTTTCATTCCTGCATTTAACTCCACAACCTGCCAAATTCGTTTTTTGCTTAAGACACATATTTAAACAAAATACTAAGACCCTATATGAAACAACTCTGAACATCATGGTATGTATTATACTCGGAAGTAGTTGCCTGCTGTAGTGTTTATTAAGAGAGGATGTAATATGAAGAAAATATTGGATTGTACAAAATTATAGAATTTTCAACTGTAGATTAGCTGATGTATTTTACTGCATAAATGCAGGTGGCATATGCATACCTATACTACTACTATTAACAGTAACAATAATAATAATAAGAAGAAAATGGCCAAATAACAAATACGTTTAAATCAGCAATTATTTTCAAACATTTTCTAATTAAACTGGAAATTCACAAATCCATAAACGATGCTACAATAGCTACTATTAAGAAATGATGGAAGCTAGGTTGTTTGTTAGCAAATTTTGAAAATAAAACACTAGCCGATAGTTATATGCAATGTTATTTATATATGATTGCATGACAGTAGATAGTTATTGTAAAGTTAGCAAAATGACAGTGTCAGACAGTTCCTAGTTCAATTGTCGAGTACTTCGTGAACTCGAGCCACACAGCACTGTAAGTATGTGTGCGTCGGTGGCACAGTGGTTAGGACTCTCGCCGACCATGCGCATGGTCCGGGGTTCGAGCCCACGCCGGCGCACTCCTGATATCTATGGTCGGCCTGCAAAATTTGGGCTACCGATATCCATGCTGAAAATTCCATACTTGTACCAAAAATACAGTGTGGAATCAAGCTGTAAATCAAAAAAAAAATTATCCTGTCATATTTTAATTCTATTTTATTTGTAATGCTAACAGTATTATCAATACAAAACTGTGCTGTAGTTGTGCATTTTATTATCGGTTTCACAGTGTACCATTATTATTATTATATTATCCAATCGCTATGAGACAATATTTATTTTCCCCTCTACCCCTACTAGTATACACATTCTACCTAAACACTCACCACTGCCGTGATTATATAAACACTTGAGTGAATATATCCTTATTATTATTATTGCTATTATTATTATTATTGTGATCACCTACATTGTTATCCACTAATTCACATCTCTGAACTCTAGTTGCATATTTGATTAACCATATTAATTCAAATATCTATGACTAATATTTCATTATGTAAATAAATATAAAGCCTGATAAGAATTTCCCGAAAATACGTATTCTCTTAAGTCGTGTTCAATAAATATTGTCTACTGCTAATAGCACGAAGGATAAGGGCAGTAAATAAAGTAATATTGGTCTAACTGATAAACTTATATGGGTGTTAGAACAAAACAAATGTAGAATTGAAAACATATCAGAATTGTAACAGAAGCCAGTGATACAGCAAATTATCTCTAAAAGTCACTTCTTTACCCATGTAAGAATCACTCTCAGTAAAAGTGGAATCTTCAGGAAGAGTGAAGACTATCAGTAAGACCAGTTTCCTCCGAAAACCAATAAACCAATATGGCGTAAACCAATTTTTATTGTTTGTTTCAATATAAATATCCGCATTATCTATTCAAAAATCAAAGCGATTAGAGTACAAGTAAAACTCGTTTAGCTGTTAGATTAAGTAAACCAATCCAACATAACTATCTGAGATTATTGAGGTATCAAGGTTATGTATTCCAATTCATAAAATTTTTGTTCAAATTACTCTCTCACGATCCATTGCAAGCTGAAATTCTAATTCTCTTCGGGCTTCGTATTGTCTTTCACGTTCAAGACGATTTTCTAAAAGATTCAGCTTTTCTTGTTTGATTTGTCCCAGCTGCACTGAGATGCGGCTTTCCAAGTGAGACTGGCGTGAAAAACGTCGCATCATCTGTAGTGATCTAATTTCCTCCTGAAAATTATTGACATAAAAACAGTAGTCATTTAATGTGCTGATTGACAATTTCTACTTCTGTATTGTTTAAATACTTACTGTTGATTGTTAATATATTTCTTATATGATTGAATAATAATTCCGCCAAATACAAATTCCTAAATTCATCCCTTTCTGTGTTTTGATTGAATTCTTGTAATTCTGTCATCGCGGAATACTAATACTACTATTACAAATAATTACAACATTTAACCAAAGATGGCCCCTTTAAAAAGCCAATGTGTTTTGAAGATAGAACCATACTGTGGCTGCCTCAGATATGTGCTAACTGGTGAATGTGAGAACCGTCACTTTTAAAACAGCTATACCTAACGAGGGTTTATGAGAAAAAACAACTAGTTTAAAGGAAATACTTTTAATAATGTGAATGAAGAATCAACGCAGAAATTTGTACTGAAGTCCGTCAATTCAGGCTGCAACACTTCAAGGAAACATGGGATAAAAAGACAGTCATAATCATGCTACAACAGATAAACATGTATTCTCTAAGAAGAATAGGTCGAGGAAGATTAGTAAAGATTTCCAGAATCCTAAGGGTAATAAGGGCCGAATGCATATGCACCAAAGAGCCTCCGTATATAAATTCTTAGTATTCTGAGGACCCTGACTAGGCTGTCTAAACCTCCTTATGTAACTGAGAATTATGTTCAGTAGCTTCATGCATTGATGTCTTGTTTTGGTCTGCTAACCTAAAATCGTATTTTAGCTTACTTTTATTGTAGGAAGAAAATGGCTTGATATGCCACCGTAATCGACAAAACTTTGTGACTTCATTAACATAACCATCAGATGGTGGAAGTGACTTTCGTTAATAAGCCGAATCATAGTGGTAAATTTAAATCCATTCGAAAGAGTGTTAAGCGACTTGTGCTCAATAAACTAATACAGTCACACGGATTTTAAGATTAATACTTGCTTCTTGAGTTCCTAAAGGAAAATAGGGCCTCAGCAGAACATCTTCATTCCCCTATGTTCTCTGCTATCATTTTCAGCTGACTGTCAGCAATCCTTCATTTCCTCTTCACATAATCTTTCATATGTTACCCTCAGATGCACAACACGTCAGTTCTCAATCAGACTGTACTTGACGAACCTTCCAGTGTATGTCCTATCCATCTAATCTCCTTCTGCATATTTACTGGACCATAGTTTTTTGGCTGACTCGTTGCCATGGTTCATTATTGCTCAATCTTTCCTGACGCCCATATGATCTTTCGAATCGAAAGAAGAAGGTGACTATTGGAGAAATTCTGTAGTTTGTTGACAGTGTTTATGATTATGCGACAGGTCTCCGAACGATATTGAGGCACTGACTTGATGTTAGTGTTTATAATTCATATCTTCTTCGTTGTGTTCTATGTCACCACAGTAATTTCAGAGTGATGGACGCTTATCTTGTTTTTATGACCCTGTGCACTTTTGACATTTTCATACGAAACAGCTGTAGCTGAAATGATGCCGCTCAAGTAGGTGAAAGAGAATTCTCTCGTTGATTGTGATTAGTTTTTTTTGTTGGTCGAATGTTTTGATCTTCTTCTACTATATGTTCACTTAGATATATATTTATACATTGTGGCTAAAGCAGAGGGATTACGATCAAATTCCCAACCGGGTTTATACTACTCTCGAAATAAACTATTCAAATTTATCTGAGAAACAGCTTTCATCTGTAAACGCCTAGATGGAAGCAAGAAGCTCCATTCTTTTTACTAAAGGAGGACAGTTCAGATGTCTGAATTTTCTGACCAATCACTACTTACTTAAACATCATAATCATTTATTGGTCTTTTACTATCTTCAACCGTAATCTTTTGATGACACAGAGGAAGAACACTAGTGAGTTTTGTTTTCAATCTAAAATTGGTTTTTACTGAGTATTAAGTGGGTAACTAGTTCGGATCTATTTTTTTTATTACAGCTTGATTCCACACTGTATTTTTGGTACAAGTATGGAATTTTCAGCATGTGATATCGGTAGACCAAAATTTCGCAGGCCGACCATAGATATCAGGTGTGCGTCGGCAGAGGATCGAACCCCGAACTATGTGCATGATCGGTGAGAATCCTAATCACTGTGCCACCAACACACACCTGATTTATGACTGACAGATTTCTGATTAAGTTGACAGAATGAGGTGTTGTTGCACTTATTTTGTGTTACTGACTTCAGACCGCATGAAGCATTGCTTGTGAACAACTGCATATATTACTAGAAGCCATACCTTTGCTTTTGTTTTTAACTTTAAGCTTTAACTGTTCCTTCCGTTTGAAGAGACTTGAAGAATTTTCTCACTAAAGTAAACCACTGCCGTGTACAACATAACGCACATCTCAAGGGTCAAATTTTTATACAGAATTTCCTATCACTCACTGTATGCCTACATATCTCACCAAATGAAATAATGTACTGTTTCCACTTTTGTTCCTTTTATTAAAATCCCATATTTTAATGGAACTTACTTGTTGTATATGATGTGCTTCTAAAATGTCCATAATAACACGTCTTCTTCTTTTCTGACGCTCGCATACTGCACTTTTTTCTTCTTGAACTTTCTCATGGATTTGTTTCATATAATTGGTAGCTGTTTTATAAAGATCGCCTGCCAATGTATTCATTGTTTCCAACTTGCTGTTTGAATCTAATGGTTCATTGGTCTTGTCTTTCAGGTTCAATGTGTTATTATTGTTTCGTTCTCGGCTGCTGTAGCGTGAATCAAATTCATCTAGTTCTCTCAAACTGATACTACTCTGTATGCGAATTATTGAGCAGAAAACAACATATAGTCTTGAAATAGAAATAACTGACGTACGACTTGTGAAAAAAAATTTGACGAATTCAAAAAGGGAGGTAAATTTTTAAAGTTACTGGGATCTTAAAACTATAAGCATAAGCAATTAGATGACATTCTGGAACTTGGTATTCAGGAGCATAATCACCATTGACATCTTGAAGGGATTTTATTAATATCTGGTCTCCAGTGAATGAAACTATCCCCATAGTGACATCATTTTTATTAGTGACTTCAGCTTATTCAGACCACAACCTATTTATCAAAATCTGAGGTTGAAATTCCTTACTCTGTCAACCATAACAGATCCTTTAGAATGACATGATTCACAGTTCCTTTAATTCGATATATCTCGACCCCTTTCTTAATGCTCTTTTGTAGTTTCTACTGATTATTTCTTGTTAATTTCACTCCTGAAGGGTGGATGTTTTCCGACTTAAATTTAAAATTTATAGTTAAGTGTAAATACAGGTGGATTTATTGAACCCATCAGAGTTCGGTATAAATCCTCGTTTAAGCATTTTATATACACATCCTTATATGTACTACTAGAAATATGTAAGGGAACATTTGACAAATAAATAAGCCGCAGTGAATAATTCATGGCAAAACTTAAGGAAAATGTCTTAAATGCCAAGTTCAAATATGAAAAGATTGGAAGGGGTATCAGACGTTGAAAATAAAGATCGTATTGGGACGTAACTGAGCTTCCCAACTATGGCTGAGCACTAGTTAACAGAGATGGGACCTGGCATTAGTACCAAATATCCAGCGGAGAAGTTCTACTGAAATTTAATAAATACAATCAGCCTTGTATTGTTAACGCTTGTTTGTACAAAACTTTACATATATCTGCAAGTTCTGTGCCTTAGTTTTAAATAACTCCTTGGAGAAATGCAGCAATTTATTCAATAGTGCTTTGTTTACCAGCTGAAACTGGACGTAGTTACATATAGATCGATCCTTTTACACTAACTGGCTTAAAATACTGTTAATTAATCAAGTATATTGGGAAATAACTAACTGTTTCGCCCCATCAGCACTTGGCTTCATAGAGTATATTGCCTGTGATAAGCATTCATATACTTTATCAACATCATACACGGCCGAGTGTTTTGTTGGTTAATACTGTCGAAAATATAGGTAAGACAAGAAGAATAACTTTCAATAACATATAGATTCCCAAACTGCAGACTGCTAAGATTTGAAAAAGGCCTATTGGTAAAACAGGTAAGTTAATCGACAGAAGTTTCAAATCGCGTCGATCTGCATGACAGAAACATGTGTTGTGCAAAACCAGTTATTGTTTACGCTAGCATGTGCTGGTAAATGTTATCTAATGGAAGGATAATCAGGAATAAACCGGATAAAATAAAGAATTAGTTCATGGTGTCATTTTTGGTCAACTAAAATATTTCTATAAAAATGTATGTCTTTTGGTTAAAGCTTCCGGTAGTTCCAGACGAGTAATTTGTACAAAAAGAGAAAACGTGGACAGCCATTACCTTATTTGTTAATTTTTGTGTGTTAACACTCTCAGGTTGTATCTTTTTCCCAATTGACCGCGGTAGGTTGATAATATTTGCTCTAAAATCGGAAATGTAAGAATATATAATTAAGACTGAATTCTCTTACTTACAATGATTTTTAACGTTAGTGATATAAATCAGCATTTAGAAAAGCATTAAAGCCTAGCTCTGTATCAGATGTGAATTACAAACCTCATAAAAATAGGTCAAATATGCCAAACCTTAAAGGTAACCAATAGTTGAAGCCATACAAAATATCTTATCAAGTATAGTTCATTCGGCTATGAAAATTATACTGTAAAACTACTCGTAATGACGATTAATTATCTTTCCAAAATACATTCAATTCTATCTCTCTCTGCATATCTGTAACATATTTAATGCAAATAAACTAAACGAGAGGTAATCAAAAATAAAAGAATGGATAACATTTTAACTGAGTTAACATGCCTGCAAAACTACATTAATCATCCTTTCTGTTTATTCCCCTAAATCCAAATGTTAACAAACTTTCTATTGCCAATTTATATTGGTAAAATAAACCCTGAAAGTCGATAAGCGTTTGATATTCGCTTCAAATAGTGGTGCCCTCAACCAATCTCCAATACTCAGTGTATATCAAAAGGCAGAATGAGAAGACAACTGATTATTAGAAAGTCATCGTGAGTTCTGCACGATAATGAGGCACACAAAAAGCTTTCAGAGGGACCAACCAGACAGTTAATTTTATGGCCTATCATATCTTTGTTGTGAAGTATTTTGAAGGTACATTTTCTTTGAAAATACTGAAGCATAAATTATAAAGTAGGAGAAGAATCTCAGTAGGCCTGGCTTTTATAATCACATCCATTCATTTAACTAAATATGATATGGTAGACATTTGAGTCACTCTGAAATGACGGAATTTATGTTTTAAATACGCCATCATTAGTAGTTATAGGTCATCTCTGGTATTTTAATTTCATTCCTTGCTGTTTACAGGTAAACCAAGTTAGTAACTGAATTGTATTTTTTATTCCAAGTAACTGTTTGTCATTTTCACCATTTGATGAAGAGCGAGTTGAAATCTCTTGGCAATTAAATTAGAAAGTCTGGAATAAGGTGGCAACACACCATTATAAGTTTTTTTATATCGGTGATACGTAGTGCGTTATTTCTTCAACTTTTCATAAACCGTGTAGCAAAAATACATAAACCAAAGCTCTTTGTGGCCATATCGTTTGCGATCAGTAAAACAGTATAAGCTACACATATTTAATAGCCATGATTACATATGTTAATAAATTTTACTGTGTAAAGTTCCTTTCGTTCAATCCTAAATATGAGAATATAGACGGCAGTCATCCCAACGTCTTCTGAGGAAATCGGCTTTAAATATGTTCTCTGATTATAAATGAATTTAATAAGAGGTGAATGCGCACAATTTGTCCGCATCACATCAAAGTAATGGCATAAAATAAGTGCAGGAATTATTGACTCACTCTAATTTAGCCATGAGTTCAGACTGTATTGCGCGTAAATCGTAACTTCTTTGGAGCCTTGAACTTCTATGCTTTTGGATTAAAGCATCTTTTTCTAATAAGGCTTCTAGATCTGCTTTCCTCATCTGTCGCTCATTGATTTGCTTTTGTCTCTCGAAACGTGATAAAATCTGTGCCAAACTAATATCTGACTGCCTTTGCATGAGCTGCTTTAATTGCTTTATAAGTTTAAAACAAATATGAACAAAGTAATAATAGTTTGAGCCTTAAGATTAAAAGTGTAGAAAATGAAACAAAACGTCATTTTAAGGCATTTTACTTGGACACGAATCGCCAAAACTCTCATAAATAGATAATATAAACAATCTTTTTCGTCAGTGGGCTATGCGACTCTTCAAAACCCATTAAAAGTGTTAAGATATTTTGTGAAAAGTAGATGTAAAACTGATCTATCGATAAATGTAAAGGGTAAGTAGAATATTTTTGGGGATAAAAAGCGGAATTCTCTTGTTAAAATTAAAAAGAATGCGGGCAGACTTGGAGCGGAGTGAAAAAGTTGGAAGAAAACCGAAGGCAAAGGAGACGAGCAGCTGAAGCCCTATGTTCCTCTAGTTAAAATTAAAACGAGAAGCAGAATTCTTCAAGAGACTTAGTCTTGATATTCTCCAGCTAATAGAAGACAAAACATTGTCGCTTTCGCTGAAGCACCACTATTTTATGTCTTTATGACTTTGTAAGACTTTGTAAGTAACTAAAGACCACAGAGTGAACATTTTTAGTGGTTAGAAGACACAAATGCCATAAATGGTCAAGGTTAATGAATTTAAGTGGGTCCTATAGATAACTGAAAATATAAATGATTACTTAACCGTAGAATCCAGAATAATGATAAAGGAATAAAAATGAATATCGGAGTTATGGTATCAGTGGTGGACAAGTTTCACCATAGCGCATATCAGAGGAAATATTTATAGGGGTGACTCACTTTCAAATTGAAACTACCGAATCAAGAGTGCTTTGTACCAAAACTTCTTCTCAGCAACAGCAGCGAGATTGATCAGATTGTCGATTACTTTATCTAAAAGGCTATGTGAGTTCTGCTGGGTGAAAGGTTGGCCCATTTTCTGTGGAGACACAGTTATACCTATATAAAAGTTACAGTACCTGACTGACTTGCTCAAAATACAGTATTATGACTTATTGTGAGTGCGATAAATGACTATTTAATTTTGAAGAAATTCATAAGCTCCAACATTGAGTTGTCATGTGTGAACATAGTGAATACTTTCTAATCAAAGAAATAAGGTAAATCAGCTACAGGACTTGTGAACCTTCTCAATCAGAAATAAACCAGTGTATGTTCTTAATAAGTGGCTTTAGTATGTCACTGATCTGTTTACATTTTCTGTGGGAATTATTGATATTATGCATTAAATAATAGTAATAACTAAAACAAATCCAACCATTTTTGTAATTTTTTCATCAGAAACTCACAGATCACACAAGAAAAATATTACCAACACTTTTAATGTATGTTATCAGCAGCTGTTGCAAGCGGTGCGGCAATTAGTACTATATTTTCGGAGAAATTATCAAAGGACCACACTGCTTTGAATCCGTTTAAGTAGTTCAAACGTTCGTGTTTCAAACTTTTCTAAAGCAGTCACATAACTATTCAGTAATTTCCATTGTAGCATTAAGAACACACATAATTATTCCAGTATTATAGATTTTTTGATTAGACACTAGTAGCTAGTGTGATGTGCCTAGTCCTTTTTGGTGCAAACTGGATTCTATCAGTCAGGTTTGCAATATGGCCACCATTCTAAGTAGCTTGCCATCACGGTGCACATTTATTATTTTATTTTGATTACAGCTTGATTCCACACTGTATTTTTGGTACAAGTATGGAATTTTCAGAATGGATACCGGTAGCCCAAATTTCGCAGGCCGACCATAGATATCAGGTGTGCGTCGGCAGGGGATCGAACCTCGGACCATGTGCATGGTCGACCAGAGTCCTGACCACTGTGGATGGTTGGAGGCAATTGGAATGTTCGATCACTATGTAGATTGTCCTCTGATATTCTTATATTTTCTATTTGTTCACTAAGGATACTTAATGACAACTGAAAATTTAATAATGCTATTAGGTTATATTAGAAAATATGTGTTAGCATGTGTTTCCTAAGTCATTTTGATGAATATGTACATCAAATAAGTGTACATGATACTCAGTTATTTCACACCATAAAAGACAAAAATATACTCTGCAGTGTGAATACAAACTTTCAAGGTAGTAAAGGTTTTCAATGTCTTCTACGTTTTTATGGGTTTCGGTTGAAAGAACCAGTGTTTGTATCATTAATGACTAATGAGTATTATTTTGTGGTATTTTTTATCACATATGGTGAAAATGACATCAAAGCATCGGTATTATAATAGTGTCAGCAACTGTGAAACAAACAGAAACTCGAAAGTCATGTAGGTATTCTTACGTTTTCCATTATGGGTGAAATTTGTTATATTGATATGATTATTAGCCATAAATTGTGCTCGAAACGTCATCAGTAAAAATTAATGTATAACACTGAGACTTTATCAAAACAAATTTTACCCATAATGGAATTATACTTTACTATAGTGCACAAGTTTTTCCTTTATATTGATTCTTGAGTTTTGTTTACTCTTACATTTACCCAAATGAGTGATCTAGGGATTATTCATTGACAGACGGCGACATATAATAATTACGAACAGAGATTTTTGACTTATGTGTCGGTTACTAAAAAATCACTCAGACACCAAACTTTGGTTAAAATCTTAATACTCACATGCTTGTAAGACAAATTTCGAAGAGTGTTCAGTTGTGAATGGTCATAGTGACAGAAGTTGGCGGAATCATGATAAAAGCAGCTATTCGTTCCATTTAGCATAACATAAATTTGATACAGGATTTTCTGTATACTTCCTGGCTTTTCAGTGATGATATCATGGGTCATATTTGCATCTATATTTATCCCTAGGTCTTGAAGAACGGACTGAAGAACTGTGAAGTTTTGTATTACTGCAGCCGACGAACTTAGAGCATATAAGATAAGAATAATAACTACCTGGAGTTTTTAAGCATGTGAAGTTTCTGAAATTTATTATGATGGTGCAAAAGTTTCCCTAAGAGGTAGCCTGTTCTAAAAGCCTTTTCCACCGATTGGCCTGTTACTGTAGAATGATATCTTAAAGTGAAATTACCTTGTAAATCTAACTCTTCTGAAACCCATGAATTTATTATACTAGTCATTGTTAATTTTCAAATGACTGTTGGCTATTTCATGTAGCGCGGGCTGTGTTGTGGTGACAGCAACTGTTCTAACAATATAAGCTAAATAGATAAGTAATATACAGATGAGTTAATAGTTCGTTGAGTGTGTGGTAGTTTATGATCCTCGGGAAGTGAGGTTATTCCTGCGAACTTTGCTGATAAGCAGAGCATTCACAAAAATTTAGGAGAATAAATGTAGTGAAGTCGGAAAGTGATAGATTTCAAGCCTACAGGAGGAGCCACAAGGACTTTTCGACATAGGCCAGGGAAATTCAGTACCAAATTATATACATGTGAACCTTGACATTTCCAAGTGTAGGGCACTAGTTGCTTATCCTTGATAACTCCACTAACTGCCCTCCGTTAACAGTCCAGTGGGTAAACAGTTGTGGTTCAAATGTTTAGTGGCATGCATGTCCTCATTATCAGCAGATTTCACTCTTTATTTCAACTCCCTCTGGTGTATGTTGAATCTCCTTAACACGTGTTTCTTGATAGTGAAGACCTAAGTACGTTTGAAGTAAAAATTTGCTCCACACAAATAATATTGCTTACCGAATCGCTCCATGCGATTCGTTGACGTCGTAAAAAGGGTGTTCACAAGTGTAGTAGATTGAAAGTACCCCATTGTTGTGGCGAATACGGTAAATTGTCAGTAGTAGAACACTAATAATGACTTTTGTCACCAGTCCACTTCCAACTCAGCTTTATATTGTGATGGATAAGGCTTAAACACTTCAAGTTACTGCGGAAACAATAGTGAGAATCGAATGACATGGATTCTCTACTGTAAGGTTTTCTGATACAGCTTTCAGACTTTCTCCAAGATTGCAGTCTTAAGGTACATAATCGATCTTGACGAGTTTACCGCTAATTTAGCTGCAATGAACTCATAAAGTCTGTGGGCACGTCAATGTATATCCACTTACAATTAGTGTGTGCAGCTTAACTTCCTTCATCCTACTATTTAAAACGGACGAAATTAACTTGACATGTGTATGCATCGGTCTGCTTGAATGCATCACGTTAATGGACCACTATTTCCACAGCATATGCGTTGATAAATCTAACCAAGACATATATGTCTTTGCAACTGACGTTTCCATAATTACTTAAAAACCAAGCGAGTAAACTAGTGAAATTTAAAATACCAGTGTAAATGAAATTACTGCAGAATTTCAGTGACTTTACACACCACCAGGAGACGAAATACTAGGCAACCTAATAGTCCACCCACCCACCTACCACAACCAAAAAAGAATTTTAACATAGGAAGCATAAATACGTCCTTGCTACTGCTTAACAACTTCTAGGTCTCCCATCTACGTGTGCTGTCAAAGGCGATTAAGGTAAGCGTTTTGTTACCACAATATACTGAATGACGTAATGGATCCTGACCGGAATCCAGTTCCTAATCCTCAAGACTTTTCTTTCATACTGCAGAAAATTCTGAGTTCCCTAAAACTTGTTAAATATATGTGTAAAACTTGGGCTCTGTGGTAGTGAGTAATTCCATATTAGTTTGTTTATTAGATATATCACACAATGAAACAGTATTATTTACTGTATGACGTTTTGAACAAAATTCATTTTTCACAATCATATAAGTTATAATCACACGACTTCGAAACTTGGGTTTTATAGTTTTCTTTGTCCTCTCCTATTTGTCGTAGGGGTAGTGGAATTTTCCAGATATTTAGGACATGTGTTAAATCACTCCTATAACACTTATTTGCAGTTGATTCGATAAGAAATCAAGAGAATAGTTCAGCTACAGCACCACATGCAATTACACACCACCATACAGTAGGATGGCATAAGATGAAAGCTTTAAAATCTAAGGTAAAGGTTGGAGGGAGAGACTGACAACGGAAGCTGTGTAGATGGTGGGAGTAAAAGCATTATTTATAATTTAGATCTGCACAACCCTTACTGTTTTCCGTTAAGGATCTAGATTCAGGTTTAATTCTAGAGCTGTCGAAAATGCATTTTGCTGTCCTTCAGATTGGAGCGATTCACATTTTTACCACTACTATATCTGCGCTGCCCCTGTCCTCTTTTGATGCTAGGCTCTGAGAGTTTTTGGCAATAACCATGGTTGCAGCATTGCATTGCTTTGAGTGCATCCCAGTCATAAAGTATGCTTTCTTCCCTAGCAAAGACTACTTAGTTCAATACTTTTTATTCATTATAATGTCCCATTAACCAACACAGAAACTGACTCTGAAAACTCTACTTCTGTGGAGGTGGATTCTCTGGTAATTACCAAAGCAAGGTCAACTGAATTCCACAAACATGACCTAGAATTATTGCTCGCTAAACTATGGCACTACTTTGACCGGTATAGCATTATGTCTGAAACAACCAGGTATGCGGGACATGTATCTTCAGTGACCTTATAAGATCAGCGAAGGGTTGTGGGATCGCATACTTCATCTGCCGGTCGAGCAGCCATACACAGTGCTTAGTTGCGAGGTGATAAAGTGTCTCTCCATGCGAGAAAACCAGTGTATACAACGGCCGCCTCAAGGTAAGTATGTGGAGGACAGATCCTCATCCCATTTCTTGTGAAACCTTCAGCAACTTGTAGAGTACAGTATAGTGGGAGAGACTACGCTGGAACAGTGACGGATGTAAGCCCTCCTGGAGGATGTGCAGGAAGCACTGGACCCACAGAGCCCTGACAACCCTCTTGAACAGCCAGTATCGCAGTCCGGATGTTGGCGTGGAGATGACATATAGAAGGTTGGGTGAGACATGTGATTTTCAGCAAAGACGAAATAATCTCAGGATCAGTGGCCAACTGAACAATTGGCACAAATACAACCAACCCAGGTTAGATCGGGTAGATCGCTTGACGGAACACCTTCCCGATCAAAGAGTAGACCCATACAAACCAGATCAACGAGCCCGTTCCGTTGATATCGCTGGAGGTTCGGCGCACAGTCAAAAGCGTTAACACAACCATGTACCTCACCAAAACTACCCCACAAGCTCCAGCGAAACGTTAATTATTTCTTGTTTGGCAACTACTGAGAAGAGTTGCCTGGAGAGTCGCTTATTCTGAATCAAGGATAAAAACTTTGGAATAGAATTTTAGGTTGCTATGGCGGCTAAACTAGGTATCATAGTGAAAACGAAGACCGAACCATGACAAAATGAGTCCCCGTGAAGCTACAAACCACCAGTAAAACCACGATCGTAACGTTTGGGAAGAAAACGCTAACGCCTATCCACTGCTTCTGATTCGGATCTAGCAAACCTTGACATTGCCTTCCTGGAAAGATATGACTTATCGCTGAATATCTAATGATGAAACAGGCCTTCTGGTATATGAATGGTAAAGCAAGACAGCACAACTCGTTTGATCTAGTTCACTCTCTGCCAGTATCAATCGAAAAGTTCTTGAAAACACTGGGGGAATTTTCAACTCGGGCGGCAACCTACCCGCAAACTTCTAAGGCTGGCTAGAGAATTGCTAATACTAGAGAGACACATACCACCACCCTAATTTTCACCAAGCGAAGATTGTCCTCGGAAAAGCATAAAGTAGTGCAAGCTGAATTCGGCTACATGTTTCATATGGAGGTTAATCGGCCCTCAAATAGCCGATAGGCTTCTCTGATACACATGTTGCCTAAGAAAAATCAGACTGATTGACGCTCTTGTAGTGATTACAGGAACCAAAATAGGCAAACTGGCCCAGGCAGGAATCCGATGCCACACATTCAAGACCTTACTATTGGTCATCAAGGTGCCACAATATTTGTAATAACAATAATGTATATATTCATATAAACATAAATTTACATGAAAATGCATGCCATTTTTACAGGCACGATCAAGTATGATATAGTATCAAATCGTAGATTGTTTACAAGTTAACAATGTTTCAACAGTTAAATATTTGATATATATGTAAATACACTCATCGTCTGAACCAGGCCGTATAATTATTGGATTGTACAGTATTTGCGCGGGAAAATCGACTTCGTTTCGTATTCAACCCGTGGTTGCAGGCATAGGATAACCAACCAATATTGAGGTAAGTACAACGTTTACATGGGATTGAAAGCTGTTTTATAATAATAATAATAATGTATATTCTCATATAAACATATAAATTTACATGAAAATGCATGCCATTTTTACAGGCACGATCAAGTATGATATAATATCAAATCGTAGATTGTCTACAAGTTAATAATGTTTCAACAGTTAAATATTTGATATATATAAATACACATTGTCTGAACTAGACTGTATAGTTATTGAATTGTACAATTGTCCTCCAGGTTGAGCGGGAAAATCGACTTCGTTTCGTTTCCATCCCGTGGTTGTCGGCATACGATAACCAACCAATATTGAGGTAAGTACAACGTTTACAAGGGATTGAAAGCTGTTTTTAGAAAAGTAAAAGTGCTAAGGTGAATCAATAAAGTGTAATGAAATGGGTAAATGCAAGTATCACTAATAAATGCATTAATAAAGGAAACTCCCTAGGCTGACAACGTTCATTTGCAATGTTTAATGCTTCCTGTACATTTTAGCAGTATCATGATGTCCACTTTTGGTTTTAATACATTTTTTCCTCATGCCGGTTTTTTTATTTTATTCCTTTTTGTGCATTTGGTGCACAACCGTACCCTATAGAGAATAAGAATAGAATAAGTCGAATCAAATTCATAAAAAGCTATAAAATGTTAGGTTTAATGGAATATAATGAGGATCAAGTTAAGACGTTATTAGAAAATAAATGAGATAAGACATTGTGAAGTGGTATTTAAAGATCCGACAATGGACAGCAAGTTAGTTTATAAGATGCCCCATAAATCTGTGCAGATCCCACATGGTCGCATCTCAACAATAGACTGGGCGAATGGTATATATTCATGGTAGAAGCATGATCTGTCAAGGCGTTCATTATTATCTTTTTCAAGATAAATATCTAAGCCCTCATAAAAATCAGAAATATCTCGAGCCTTCAAATGTATATTGCTGTTCCTGCAGAATGGGGCGATTCACCTTAGT